TCTGTGACCCTCTTGATAACATGGATACACACTTCATAAGCAGGGTGACGAATCTGCACTTTGTCACACCCAGAGCCACATGACATCACATATACCAGGGCACTGACACACGCCTGTGGGCAGACACGTCTTCTTGACCCCTTTGCATCAGGAACACTTTCACAGGCGCTCCTGGGACCCGCCCATGGCACCCTGCACTCACACAGAGCCCTCACATGCTGGCCTCATCCCTTCCTCTGGGGAGCCCTGGTCACTTCCTCCACCCTGCCCTCCCCACCTGGGCTCCTCCCCTCTCCCACTCGGAGCTGTTTCCAAGCTCCTGCCCACCCACTTGCTGGCCACCTGCTCAGCTCAGGGCGGGGGAGGAGGGGGCCGGCTCTTCTGTTTGCCAAGGCAGCTGCTCTGTGGCCACTCGCTCACGCAGGACAAGAATACAGAAAAATGCCCATTTGAAACAGAAGATAAAAGAGGAGGAAGTTAGGGCAGCAGGTTCTCTGCCCCCGCTCTCAGTTTTGTTACAGATTTTCCTCTTCCCTTCGTCCCCCTGATCTCATCCTTGGCAGTCAGGAGGCCTTCCCAGCACAGCTGCAGATCTGAGGCTGCACAGGTAGAGAGAGGGGCTCCTTGGCTCAGGCCCTTCCTGGCCCCATTTGAGGGTATATGTGCCTGGCACTGTGCCCAGACTTCTGTAGGAGTTGTTTCAACCTCCCCAACATAGCCAGGAGGTAGAGGCTGTTATTGTCCCCATTTTATAGGAGGAGACAGAGAGGTGCAGTGCCAAGTTCAACTTCACACAGTCAGTTGGGGGTGAGTCATGATCGGAACACTGGGCTTTGTGAGCCCAGAGCCCCTGCTCTTGAGGGTCACACTCTTCTGCCTTTGGTGGAGTCAGAAGAGCACATGCAGGTGACCTGGGTTCTCTTCACACCCTCACTAGAGATAGGCCTGCTCACGGAGGCCTCAGTTTCCTGATCTGTTAAATGGGAGCTCAGAACTCCAACTGATTCCAGATCTTAGCAATTGTAAATAGCACTGCTATGAACATAAGGCTGCATGTATTCTTTCTGATTGGTGTTTTAGGATTCTTATAATATATTTCTAGAAGTGGGATCACTGGGTCAAATGGCAGTTCCATTTTGAATTTTTTAGGAAACTCCATACTGTTCTCCATAGCAGCTGCACCAATCTGCATTCCCACCAGCAGTGTACTAGAGTCCCCTTTTCTCCACATCCTTCCCGGCACTTGTCCTTTGTTGATTTGAGGCAGCCATTCTGGCAGGCGTGAGGTGACACCTCATTGCCATTTTGATTTGCATCTCTCTGCTGATTAGTGACTAAGATCTGGAAACAGCCCAAGTGCCCATCAATAGTTGAATGGATAAAAAAGTTGTGGTATATTTACACAATGGAATACTACACAGCTGTATAAAAGAAAGATCTCTTACCCTTTGAGAGAACATGGACTGACCTGGAGAGTACTACGCTAAATGAAATAAGCCAATTGGAAAAAATAAGTATCACTTATATGTGGAATCTCATGTACAAAATAAACTGATGAACAAAATAAATCCAGAGACATGGAAGCATGGAATAGACTGACAAATCTCAGAAGGGAGGGGGGTGGGGTGGGTGGGAAGAAATTAGCCAAAGAACTTATATGTATATATGCATAACCCATGGACAAAGACAATGGTGCATTGAAGGCGTGGAGGTGGGTGGGAGCAGGGAGGAGGGGTCAATAGGGGAAAAGGAGGAGGACTGCTGTAATCCTTTCAACAATAAAGATACGTTAAAAATATATATATAGAAGTCTAAAAAAAAGAATTCCAACTGAGAACCCAGAAGGTGAATGTTCACTGAAGGACGGATGCCTCCTGGGTGTGTGAGGCCTGTGTCCTCTGGATCAGTAGCTGTGAACTGGTTTTGATAAACTCCTCCCTCTGAGCATCTGCTGAAAGTCATGCATCCTTGCCCCAGAAAAACAAAAATGCATCTACCTCCGTGGGGGCGGGGTGTTTCAGGACCCCTGCGGCTGCCCCACCTGCGCCTGAACCTTTAGGTAGAGCCTGGGACTTACTCAGAAGCTCAGGCTGTGTTCTGAGGATGAAGTTCAGCACTTCTCCTGCTTCACGGGTGGGGTTCTTAGGACCTCAGCTCCTGGAACAGAGCCAGGTTCAGGGGCCTGTGGAGTCTCGGTGCTCAGGGCCCCACCTAACGCCCCATCACTCTGATTGGCAGGGCAGCGCAGGCAGCAGGCAGGACTTCCCCAGAAGGTGGACAAGGCAGTGCCAAGCTGGCTGGGACAGCATGTAAAATTAAAATACAGATTCCTTGGCCCGCACTCAGAGAAAGGTACTGATTTCGTAGGTCTGAACAGGGCCTCAGAGTACACATTTGTCAAAGACCCCCAGGGGATTCCGGAGCAGCCAGTTTGATAACCACTGATTTAAGGACTTTACCTAGAACGAAGTTTTATTTCTCTAGTGGAGAAACGATCTTCCTCCATCTGTGTTAATTGAACTCCAGCTCGGACCAAGCGTGGACTAGACCCTGGTGAGCAGGTCTAAACCCAGCCCTGTACTCGGAAGCTTATAGCCTCCCTCTTTCCCTGCCCTTTCTCTCCCCGGAGTTCTTGGAATCTTTCCCCGGAGTGGTCGCTTACACCATTCTCTCTTGGGGCCTTTGAAAATTGTGGCTGAGCAGGGGACCTGAGCAGCGACCCGAAGGTCTTCGAGTCCATTCCCCTGCCTGGGCAGCGGGGGCACCTCTGAGAGACGAGCTGGGCCCCACCTTCCTCAGATGCCCGTTCCTATCCCTACACCCCTGGCCAAAAACCCTCTCCCCTGTCTCATTTCAGTCCCTCTCACTGTCACTCAAATCTACCTCCTGTTCCTGCAAGTGACATCTATGGAGTCTCCGTTGGTAGCAGATGTTGGGTACCCAGGCTTGGGGGTGTGGGAAAGACAGTTCAAGTCCTGGCCCTCACCGTCAGGTGGGAGAGACGAACCTGAGGAGACTCACAAACCTGGGCTAGATGGGGAGACACACGGTGTCTGGGAGCTCAGACGAGATGCCCTATGAAGGAGGCTCCCCAGGGAGGGTGACCGGGTCTGCTGCTTTCCTCCAGGTGAGGGACTGGCAGGGGCTGCCCACCCAGGGAGAGGCTGGTGCTGTGTGAGGCTACTTGCCCATGGATTCTGGCTTTCTCCAGCTTTCCTACCAAGTCATATTTCCAGTCTCCACCTGTCTTCTCAGCTCTTTCTTCCTCATTTTTCTCCACAGTGTCCCAACACTCTCTTCATCTGCCCAGACACAAAGCCGATAACATGATGCTCAGGACGTGTGCAGAGAGGGCGTCTGTGCCAGGCTGCTGGCTTCCTGTGTGCCTGCCAGTGTCCTCCCCTGTTCCCATCAGCCTCACCCTGGTGGCTGGGACCTGCTTGTATGCTTAGGATGGGGTGTGCCCATGGCAGGAAGCGCAGGCTCAGTGGTGGGGGGAGAAGCCAACAACTTGGGAATGCAAATGTCTGAGTTCTAGATGCAGCCCTGCGTGGAACTGGCTGTGTGACCTTGAGCGATCTATACTGAACTACTCCGAAGTCCAGAGTCTTGAGTTCCACTCCAGGCTTAAGAAATCAGAACCTGCATTTCAGCAAGACGCCTGGGTAATTTGCATAGACCAGAAAAATGGGGAAGTCCGCCCCTGCAGACTTGCTTCTCGCCATTAACCTGTGGTTGGGGTGGCAATGCTGGTGACCATGGTCAGTGTCCAGCCCCTCAGGGGCCTCCTCTGGGATGTGAAGGGGCTGGTCCAGATGACCTTTGTGGCAGAGGGTGCAACATGGCACCTTGATGCCAGATCTATCTCTCAAACTAGTTTTGTTTGGCCAGATGCTGTTCACATTATATGTATATATATGGTACACACACACACACACACACACACACACACGTATTTAAAAATGGAGACGTTTCACATGAACACTTGCTTTAGGTTCTCTTCCAACCACCGATACTTTGAAGATAAAATCCCAGGAACCTCTTAAAACACATGAAAGACATGTGCCCAGCCTCACTCTTGGTAGAAGAATTACAGTTCAGATCTCCACTGAGTTGCATTTGCCACCTGTCTCACTAGCAAAGGTAAGAAAGTTTGACAGCGCACCACATGGGCAGGAGTGGAGGAAAATGGTCCCCTCACCGTAAGTTGGTACAATCTCTAAGATGGAAACATCTCTCATTATCTATCAAAATTACCAAACAACACCCATCCTTTGACCAAATAACACCGACTCTGGAAACCTATCCACAAACACCTGTACACATGGGAAATGTAGTTCTAACACACACAGAGGGTTAGTCATTGCAGCACGGTTTGTAACAGCTATAGGTTGGAACTCAGCAAAATGCCCTTTGAGAGGAGACTGGTGAAGTAAACTATGGGACAGCCGTATGATTGAATACAATATCATGAGGAGCTCTTTGTGTAATGAAAGGGGGTTCATCAAAATATTTACTGAAAAATGGAGCATACAGAACAGCTTGCAGACTCCCGGAGTGGAAAGATGCTCTGGCCGTCTCTAGGGAGGGGACCTTGGAGACTGGGGTCCAGGGGCGAGAGGAGTCTTTTCACTATCCACACTTTGGTATCTTTTGAACTTTGAACCATGACAATGTGTTACCTACTCAAAGAAGAAATAACTAAAAACTCTCAGGGACCTAGATTCTGTGATTCTAACACTTTGATTCTGATGTTTTAGTTTGGTGAACCTAACTTACTAGGACTCTGGAAAGCTCACCTCTTGTGAGGCCAAGTTTCTAATAATCCATCCGCAGTGGTCCTCCTGGGTCTCCAGCCCTGCCCTGTCCCTGAGCCGGCCACGGCAGTCCCTCTGAGCTCCAGCAGCCCTGAAGGACAGCGCCCTACCTACTACAGTGTGGCTGCATGAACTCCAGCGTCTCTCCCGCTCTCACCCTCTTTGACGTCTCTCTCCTCCTAGGGGAGCCTTCTCGGTGGTACGCAGGTGTGTGAAGGTGCTGGCTGGCCAGGAGTATGCTGCCAAGATCATCAACACCAAGAAGCTCTCAGCCAGAGGTAGGTGGGACATCCGTGCCTTCCCTCCTTTGGGGCTCTCCTCCCCTTCACCCCTTCCTCTACCTCTTGGTTAGAACCAGGACCTGAGTCTATCCCCATGGGCGATGCTGCCGGCATGGGTAAGAGCTCTTCTGGTGGGTATCATGAGGACAGGCCCCTCCCTTTTCATTCCTTAAGGGATCTAGGCTGGGGGTCACTGCCTTTCTGATAGGCCAAGCTCTCCGCCTTGACACCTAGGTGAAGGCTAAGATGCCAGGTGGGACTTCCTTCCCTGCTCTTCTGCCTCCCGCCTCCGTTCTCACCTCCAGACCTCTGTACCTGCTGTTTCCTCTGCCTGGATGCCCTTGCTGGGCACCTTACAAGGCTGACTCTTTCTCAGCCTTCAGGTCTCAGCTTAATGTCTCACACTTTGAGAGACTCCCTAACCCCTAAATCTGAAGGTGTGTCACCCATTTTATATCTCTCATTACTGTTTACTTTCCTGTGGCTTCCCCCCAACCTGGACTTGACCCATTTACTGGCTTGGTTCCTTGTTTAACATCCATCTTTCCTCTTGACTTTAATTCCAAGAGGGTAAGGATGGTTCTCATTCCCTGTGATATGCTCAGTACCTAGGACAGCGCCCTGTATATCCAAGGTGCTCAACCAGTGTCCAGTGAACTCCAGCAGCTCTGCTTCAACCACACTAGTCTGATCTCTGCTCCCTAATACTCTCTAGGTCAGTGGCTTCCAAACCTGCCCTCACATTGGAATCTTCTGGAGCCTTTCAAATACTCCTGACACCTGGGTCCCACCCCCAGAGGTTGTGAGTTAACTAGCCTCGGGTGTGACCTGGGTTTGGGGAAAGATCCCCAGGCAACTCTAATTTGAAAGTGATCCTAGACCAGCAACAGCAGCATCATCAGAAGATTGTTAAAAATGCAAATTCTTGATTCCAGACTTAAGAAATCAGAGTCTGCATTTTAACAACACACCCGGGTGATTTGTGTGGACATTAAAACTTGGAGAGTCTGCCTAGAAGTCTTGCTTCTTGACTTTAGCATGTGATTCGGGCAGTAATGGCCGTGACCATGGTCAGTGTGTTGGGGAAGGTTACTTTCAATGATTCAATCCGTGGTCTGAACAGCATCTAAGCTGCCTTGGGGGACTGCTGGGTGGTGGGGATTCTGGCGGTGGGTTGGTGCAGGTGTGGGCTGAGCAGCCCATGGCTTGCGCAGCATGGGACACATTGTGTGCAGGGCTGGCACAGTGTCCAGGTGTTTGGCTGGCACAGGCGCCACCTGTGTCTGGGCCAGGGCCCAGCAGGTGTGGGGTTCGTGGAGACTGGCACAGGATGTTCACGCTGTCTCCCACAGGCCTTCCAGCAGGCTCCATGTTAGACTTGTGTTGTGGCTTTTCATCTCTTCGACTCAATGTCACTGGGAGCCCAGCACTTTCTCCTCATTACCAAGCTCCCCTGGAGGCAGACCACTGTCCCGCAGGGAGAAGAGCTGGGAGGGTGGGGGTGCAGTACTGAAAGCCCAGGGCCCTGGTGGCACGGTCAGCATAGAAGCCGGCGGGGAAGGAAGGGAGAGGCCTGTCTTGTGAAAGGCTCGGACCCAGAGCCAGGGGCAGGGGCCAGGGTGGGCGGGATGGCAGCCATAGCACTGCCTCACATCCAGATGATGGGACTGGTCTTGCTGTTGCTGTGTGACTAGTGGCAGCCTGGTGTCCCCTCCGTACTTTGTGTCTCTAATGATCAAGGGAAATGTCCCCATCCTGAATGCTAGTGGGGGCAGGACTAGAGCCATGACTTGGGGTGACAGGTTGAGGTTGCCTCCAAAGGAGGGAGGATCAGGAACCAAGGTCCTTCCTGGATGCTGGGGGTTTTGGGGCCAGTTCAACACGCGCGCGCACACACACACACACACACACACACACACACACACATGTGGGGGAGAAAGGAGAGAAATGGACGTTTTTAGAAGGTGACTAAGCATTCCTGGGCAGTGCATGCAACGGGCCGTGCCAGGCAATAACTGCCACGCCCCCTCTGTTTGGCGATTTGTTGAACCACTGACCTCCTGGAGGCAGGTGGCCCAGGCCGAGGTGAGCATGGAGGGCGGGAGTGTGGATGTTCTTGGGGGAACCTTTCCAAAACAGCCTGCCAACTCCAGTGCTTTCTCCCCAGCGGAGAGGAGAGCAGAGCTCCTTCTGAGCTGGTTCTTTGTTTGCCACTCACGGTGCCTGGGGCAGGGAACGGTTTGAGACGGAATATTTGGCAACAGACTAAGCTTCTCCCACGGGCACTCCTGAGTGCCTTTGGCAGCTCCTGGCAGGGGGCCGTGCCCACCCGGTGTCTGTCCAGCCCCCAGGGAGCTGTGGCTTCCCCTTCCCCACCCGGCAGTCTCTTCGACCCAGGGGTTCCCAGACCCAGGAGATATTTTTTACATGTATTTTTAAACTAGTCTTTTAAGTAAAATGCTCATAGGATAAACAATTCCAAGAAACCATATAGATATGGAGTGAAAATGAAAAATGTGCCTGTCCTTCTCCCTGCCAGCTCCCCCTGGGCAGTTCCACGCCCCGAGGGTTGGATTCAGTAGGTGAGGCCCGAGCTCCCGATGACAAAATCCTGTCAGCGAGGATCTGCTCATGTAACTCCCTGCCAGGGGCTCATGCAGAAAGAGTTCATTAACACTGCTGGGCACGAGGACGCGGCTGGTGCAGCCAGAGGTGACTGGCCCGTGACCTCCACAGTCCCCACTGCCCACCCGGGCACTGAGGGGTCGCTTCCGGGCTCCCTGGTGACCAGCCTCAGGACACCAAGTGGGAAGCACGGCATGAGCTCATTCAGGCTGCCCCTGAACTTCAGGCCCACGCGAGGGAGACTGTGAGGTGGAGCAAGATGTCTTTCCATCCTCCTCATCTTCCTCCCCCGCCCCTCTGCCTGACACTCAGTCCTCGTGATTATTTATCCAACCTCTCAGGATCCGGAGCCCTGTTGAGGCCCTGTGGAGGGTGGGCATTTCCTGTTCCAGACTCGGAGGCCTATTTTCGGTCCTAGTTCCCGTGCCTCTGGTCCGAATCCCTCTGCCTACCTGCCTGCTGGAGCCCAGCCCCTTGGCAGGCAGAGAGCCCTCCAAGCTGCTTGATTGCACCCCCACGCCTCCCCACACCTCTTCTCTGTCCCACCCTGCCCTTCGGGCCCCAGAAACCTACCCCCAGAGATTCCACCCACCTGCCTCCTGTGTTCTGAGCAGGGCTAGTCCCCATAACCCCAATATCCTGGAGGCATCCCCCAGGGAGGGAGGGGAAGTTCACAAGCTATGTTGTGGGCATTCGGGCCTCCTTCCAGGCACCTGGGCAAGAGGCTGCAGACTTCGTCCCTTAGACCTCTCACTGTCGTGGGATTCTACTGAGCTGGATGGATTGATTTAGCAATTAATTAATTATTAGAATGGGAGGCAATATAGTGTAGTAATTATGAACATGGATTGAGATCCCAGCTCTGCCACTTCTTAGCTATGGGATCTTTGACAAGCTGGGCTCTAGGCCCTGGGAACGTGGCAGTGACTGGCAGACAAGCTCCTGCTCTCATTGCACCTGTTTTCCAGGGAGACTGAAACGAGCATTAAACAGGTGGATAAGCTGGGTAATCTCAGGAAGCGATGAATGTCATGAAGAAAATAAGACAGGTTAATGGGGAAGTGAGGGGGCAGGAGGGACACGTGGAAAAAAAGAAGGAGGCAGCCATGAGAAAACCCAGGTAAGAGCATTCCAGGCAGAGGGCAAGGCAAGTGCAAAGGCCCTGAGGTGGGAAGGGCTCAGTGTGCTTGAGGCCCGAAAGGAGACCAATGTGGCTGGAGCTTCAAGGCCAAGATAAGGCAGGACCCAGCAGGGTTTTGTTGGTTGTAGTGAGGAGTTTGGATTGTATTATAAGTACATTGGGAAGCTGTGGGTGAGTTTGCAGCACAGGATTGATTCTGTAGTTTAATAAGAGCTCCTCCGCTGTTGAGGACTTTTGACGGGTGGAGGTTAGAGGGTGTGTCCAGGAGTGGATTCTCAGAGCTCTGAGTTCTTACAAGGCTGGACCATCTTGTTAAAGGGACCGTGCTTTTATTGCTCTGCCTCAGTCTCCCCATCTACATAACAGAGCAAGGCCTCAGAGGTCAAGAGAAATACGATCCCTACATTTCTTGAGGTGAAATGAAAACATTTCAAACAGAGTTCCAAAAATGATTGTATCGTGAGCATGTTTCCATTCAGCAAACGAATGCTTTTAGCACCGAAAGTTGCGATGCTATGAATTGTACTATGCACAAGATGATGACAAGATTCATAAAAACTAGTTCCTAGCATTTCCAGGAGGAGGGTCTGGTAACCAGGCACACGTGTGATGCTGCATGACCAGCGGTTTCTTCTTTCAATCCTGGGTATCACTCTGCTCCTGAGCAACCTCACATGGAGAAAACACCTGAATTCTGTGTGTGGGCTGAGCCAGAAAGCCCCCCAGACCCCACTGACAGGCCCAACTTTGACCTGCCTGATTTCTGGTTCTGCTGGAGATGGAGGGAGGAGGGGCAGGGTATGGAGCAGGGGTGGGTCCAGCCTTCCTCAGCCCACTGATGGGGATTCTCCTCCTTTGCCGTAGGCCTGGCCTTCCTCCACCCTGAAGGATCTGGAAGGAGGCAGGGAGGGAAGGGGAGTTAGGGGGATGCCCCTGGGTCCACCTCCCCTCCTTAGCCTGCAGCTGGTCTTTAGCTGGGGAGTTGAGCTTACACTCTATGAAAACTTGATTGGATTTAATCGCTTTCCTGATGGAAAAGCCACATTTCAGTATTGACCTTGGCTTCTGCAGCCCTTGGAGGACGGCCAGCGATTGCTGTAATTCAGGAAGTGGGGAAAGGGGAGCTGGCTGCCAAGGGATAAGAGCTGGGACTTCTCCATCCTCATCACCTTCCCCGGTGCCTACCTGCTCTGAAGAGGCCATTGGGACACCAGGGTTCTGGTCCCAGCTCTGCCTCTGAGTGTCTGTGTGAGAACCTTCTGTGGGCCTTGATATTGCCCTTTGAGGGTTGGGGGCAGGTAGAGGTGGTGGTGATTTGTCAGGGCACGGAGAACAGTACAGAGAGGGCTTTATTATTTTTTTAAATTTATTTTTTCTTTTATCCTCACTGGAGGACATTTTTTCATTCTTTGTTCAGATAGAGTGGGAGGGAGAGAGAGGAAGAGAGAGAGAGAGAGAAACATCGACATGAAAGGGACACATCGAGTGGCTGCCACCCGCATGACCCAACCAGGGCCGGGGACAAATTGCAACCAAGGTACATGCTCTTAGCGGGAATCGAACCCTGGTCTCTCTGGACCACAGGCCAACACTCTAACCACTGAGCCAAACTGGCCAAGGCTAGAGAGGGTTTTAAAGCTCACCCCTGGAGTCTGGCTGCCCAGGCACAATGCACGGCTCCCCTGTTCACTGCGGGTGTGACTTTGGGCCAGGTGCTTAACCTCTCTGAACCTGTTTCTTCCTCTGAAAAGGCAGGATAGTAGTTACACCTCCCTCAAAGGGTTGTAGCGAGGGCTTCAAATGCACAAAAAAGCTCTCTGCTCGGTGCCTAACACATGGTAAATAATCAACATTTGTAAATGGCTCCTGTTTTATAGTGTGTGTGTGTGCTTTTAAATTAAGGCATTAATGACCGAATTGTGAGTAAAGCACCAGAAAGGGAATTGGGAAATACATTTCCAGTCCCCGTTCTGCCACCGACGAGGCCTCGGCTTCCCAGGCTGCTGTTTTCTCATCTATGAAGTGGGGACAGTGACACCCACAGCCACGGCTGTTGGGAGGACTGTTTCCAGCAGCCTCAGAGTCAGACCACAGGTGGCAGGTCCTGAACCAGGCCTCTGTCCCCTGTGGGTGGGGAGGCCCAGGGGATTCGGACAGACGTCCTGGCAGACAGGCGTGAGAGCGCCACCCGAGCCACGTACAAGCCCTACGCTGCTGATTCTTCGGGGCCTCTGTGTCCTCTGCCAGCGAGGTGGCTTCTGCAAATTAATACAGCTCTTCTCAGAGAACACCCTTAGGAAGGTGCACTCATTCAACCATTTGTTCTTGTGTTTATTTATTTATTTATTTATTTATTTATTTATTTATTTATTTTTCATCCTCACCTAAGGACATTTTTTTTTTTTAATCCTCATCCGAGGACATTTTTCCATTTTTTGTACAGACAGAGTGGGAGGGAGAGAGAGGAAGAGAGAGAGAGGGAAACATCGATGTGAAAGGGACACATTGAGTGGCTGCCACCCGCACGACCAACCAGGGCCGGGGACAAACTGCAACCGAGGTACGTGCCCTTAGTGGGAACCGAACCCGGGTCTCTCCGGACCGCAGGCGGACGCTCTAACCACTGAGCCAAACCGGCCAGGGCTGTTCAGTTATTTTTTGAGCACCTACTATGTGCCAGGCATTCGGGTAGATGCCAGGGGTGCAACAGAGACCAAGTCCCCGCCCTCAAGGGTAGAGATATCAATGAGACAGAGTGAGACGCACTGTCCAGGGGCCCCGAGAGCACAGAGGAGGGGCCCCTGCCAACCTGGCAATCAGGGCAGGCTTCCAGGAGAGGGTGACATCTGGGGATGGGTAGGAGTGAGTGATGGCTAGGGAAGGGCCAGTGCGAGGTTGAGGGGGAGTGTTCCACGCGGAGAGAGCCGTGTGTGAGGACCCCGCAGTGAGAGGACTGAGCAGGAGGTGCCCGGAGACGTGAAATCCAGCGGCTCAGCCTGGCTGGAGGCTAGTGTGAGGGGCAGGGCTGGAGGAGGGGCAGCAGGAGCCTGGCCTGTGTGGGGGGCCCAGGCTTCATGGAGTTTGCATCTTATACAAGCAGGGGCTCCGGGATACCGCTCACTGGAGAGCCCTGGAGACAGGCCCAGAGTGGGGAAGGGACGGACCCTGCAGCGCTGTCACCCGGCTTCTCCCTCTTCTGCCGCATCTCTCTGCCTCCCCGGCAAGCTTTCCAGGGCCCAGGGGCTGCCCTGGGAGGTGGAGACCATGAGGCTGTGGAGGGAGAGATGGGGTGGGTGGAGGTTCCTTTCTCACCTGGGACTCACCTGGGCATCTATCTGTTTCAGACCATCAGAAGCTGGAGCGTGAAGCCCGCATCTGCCGCTTGCTGAAGCACCCCAACATCGGTAAGTTCTTGGGGGACAAGTGAGGGTGCGGGGTAGGGCCGGGCTCCGCTCCCCTGCCCGACCTGGTGGGTTTTGCTGATGAGGTGGGGAGGTAGCTGCTCTATTCTCTGGGGATGGCGGCAAGAGAGATGGGAACAGGGGGTGTCTTTGATGGTTTTCACATTCCTCAGAGACCAGCTTGGGTTGGGGGACGGTGAAGAAGGGGCCCTTCCTCGCAGCCCACACTGCCAGCAGCCTCCTTCAGAAAAGCTGTTCCAGGAAAACTCCTGAAGCCTTTCATCTCTTGAGAGACGAAAATAGGCCAGGCTGGCCTTGACCAGTGCAGCCCACGTCCCTAACGCACCCCCGTGCTGAGTCAGCCTGGAACCGTGGTCCTGCCCAGCTCCCCAGACCTGTGGCTGGCCTGCCCCTTAGAGGCGAGCTGCAAGGTGGTCCCTGCCCCAGGGATAGACTGAGTGCAGGCTGTGTGGAGAGGCCGGGCCCTGCACAGTTGGAGAGGCTGAGTCCCTGCCCATCAGGGTTCTGAGTCATGAGGGGAAGAAGTACAGATTCTAGATACAGTTCTGTCAGAAAATGGCTGTGTGACCTTGGGTAGGAGCACTACCCTCTCTGGGCCACTCTCCCCCATCTTCACAAGGAAAGGGCTGTCGGAACCCCCTGGGCATCTTGCTAACCGGTGGATTCTGGTTCAGCAGGTCTGGGTCTGGGTGGGGCCTAAGACTGAGCATTTCTAACAGGCTCTGAGGCAATGCCGAGGCTGCTGGTTCACAGACCACACTCAGGAATATTCCAGCTCTGACGGCCACCACATCTCCTCCCTCCCAGGGAAGCATCTCTGGGCCCAGGGCCCCAAGGGTTAACTCTGCTGCTGGAGAGAAGCATCTCCATCTGCTATTTATACCCAGAAGGCCCTCCCTGTGCCCGTGCCTGGGAAGGGGAGCAGGGCTGTGCAAACAGCAGCAGCAGCTGCCGGCAGCTGGCGGGAGGAGCTCTGCTTGGACTCTGGCCCCCGATCTGCTTCGGGCCTCACTGTGTGGCCCCCTCCCAGCCTCCAACTTCTCAGTTGTATCATGGAGGAGGTTGTGAGTGATCTCTGACTACAAAAAACCATGGTTCTTATAAAGGAGGTATGAGTGCGTGTGTGTGTGTGTGTGTGTGTGTGTGTTGCTACTCCATTGCAGCTGTCTCGGGTCAATGCTGCCTCCTCCACTTTGCGCCCCTTCTCCCTCTCATTCCCAGCTCTAATGGGGAGCAGTAAGTTATGGGCTCTGGGGCTCACAGACCACAGCTTTCTGCATCATTACCACTTGCTGATGGGGCAGACCCCAGAAGGCCACCCCAGGGAGCAGGAGACAACCTGAAGGTTTAGCAGGTGATTTGCAGTCGGGGAGGGAAGTGAGGTTGGTTGATGACAAAGGTGACGATGTCTCCGTTTATTAAGTTCTTCCAGGTGCCAGGCACTGTGTTGAGTGCTTTTTGAGCATGGTGGCAGTAACCCCCCACTGCTGTTAGGAGAGGAGGCTCAGAGAGGTTACAGAATTTGCCCAAAGTTACACAGCTTGTAAGAGATGTTGCTGGAGGTGAACCCAGCAAGTCTGACTCCACAGCCCATTCTCCGTCATTCTGTGTAGCTTCCCAAGTGGACCTCCGGCTTGTGCTGTCAGAGGGACATGTGTCTAGGGGAACAAGTACTACCCTTCAACGTCTAAGAAAAAAACACGGTAACTTAGAAATATGACAGGAATGCCAGAAATTCGTGAGTTCAGCGACATAAATGAAAACTAGGTTACAGAATTTTCGTTCTCTGACAATATTTTTCAAAGTCAAAAAAGTGACAGCATAATTCAATGGGCACAGACATGCCAGTCTCTGCACCGGCGGTGGGGCTGTGACGCAGCCCGTGGCCCTTGAATGCTGCCTGTCCTCTCGGGCTCTGGGCTGCGTGTGTCAGGGAGCCTCTGCTGATGGGAGGGGAGGTTTGTATGGGAAAACAGCAGCGAAAGAAGCAGCCCTGTCTCCTGGGCTCCGAGTGGTGATCCAGCCCCCTCTCGGACTGAAACGGATTCCACTCTTCTGCTGTGGGTGGGGCCTGGAATCCAGCCCACGTCCCCTCACCTGGCTGCTCAGAGAGGCAGCCTTTTAAAATCAGCACAACGGCCTCCATCTAAGCTAAAGTCAGCTCTGGAGAAACACCCTGTCCTGGTTCTATCCATTTCCCTGAACCCCGAGGACCTTCTCTAAAGGGGCTGAGGCTCCTGGTCAGAGGGTGGACCTGGGACCCCAGTCTCTTTGGATCTCCCCGCAAACGGCTGTTGGCCAGCCCTAAAAGCCTTTTCTCAGGAGGTTCTGGCCGCAGCGTGGCTTCTTAGAGCTTCTCCGGCTCAGGAAAGGGAAGCCAACGCCTCTCACGCCCGCTGGAGCGGAGTAGACAGGGCGTCTGCCGCCAAGAGTCCACCTGGAGGAAGGTGGGGAGACAAAAGGCTGTTTTTCAAAACATGACCTTGATACACTAACGATGCAAGTTCATTGTACATAAATGAGAAGACAAATAATTTTATTATTATTATTATTTTTTTTATCCTCACCCAAGGACATTTTTCCATATTTTGTTCAGATATAGTGGGAGGAAGAGAGAGAGAGAGAGAAACATCGACGTGAAAGGGACACATCGAGTGGCTGCCATCCGCATGACCCAACCAGAGCTGGGGACGAACTGCAACCAAGGTACGTGCCCTTAGCGGGAACCGAACCTGGGTCTCTCTGGACCGCAGGCTGATGCTCTAACCGCTGAGCCAAACCGGCCAGGGCCAGACAAATAATTTTAAAACGCAAAAATACAGGATACCGAGTTCAATACACATACACCTGTTAAAAATGAAACCTGTATTTGCTTTGAAATGCATTCAAAAATTAAAATCGGCCCTGGCCTGTTTAGCTCAGCGGTTAGAGCTTTGGCCCAAGGACCAATGAGTCGTGGGTTCGATTCTGGTCAAGGGCAAGTATCTCGGTTGGAATTCGTCCCCGGTCCTGGTTGGGGTCATGTGGAAGGCAGCCACTCAATGTGTCCCTCTCACATCCATGTTTCTCTCTCTCTCCCTCCCACTCTATCTGAACAAAGGTGGAAAATGTCCTCAGGTGAGGATAAAAAAAAAAATTAAAATCAATAAATGGATGGAGTGGATAGAAATGTAGTAAGACAAGTACAAGAAAACATCAATGACAGAGCCCAGGTGGTGGGCACATGGTTGTTCATTTGACTGTATGTTTGAACTTTTTTATAATAAAATATTGATTCAAAAAATCAAAGCAGGATTATAGTACATGTACTCTCAGGCAGCCTGTGTTTTTTTAGTTTTGCTTTATAATAGATTTAAAACATCTTTCAGTCATTATTTATAAATATATATCATCGTTTAAGAATTAAAAATGTTTTACTTTAAATTTGTGTTCCTGCCCTGGCCAGTTTGGCTCAGCAGTTAGAGCGTCGGCCTGCGGTCCGGAGAGACCCGGGTTTGGTTCCCGCTAAGGGCACGTACCTCGGTTGCAGTTTGTCCCCGGCCTTGGTTGGTCATGCGGGTGGCAGCCACTCGATGTGTCCCTTCACGTCGATGTTTCTCTCTCTCTCTCTTCCTCTCTCTCCCTCCCACTCTGTCTGTGCAAAAAATGGAAAAATGTCCTCGGATGAGGATTAAAAAAAAAAAAAAAATTTGTGTTCCTTTCCTCCTCCTCCATCTCTGGTCCCCATCTTCCCTTCCCCCATAGTGGGCACCCAGTCCGGGGTATTTGCTGCCTGTTTCTCCAAACTTCATGTACAAATATGAGAGCCATAAGGAATTTAGGGGACTCCCTATTGAGCCAGCAATATATGCACATGGCAAGAAGTCTGATGACATTAGAGTTTACAGTGAAAAGTCAGTCTCACCTACCCATGACCCCTGCTCCCCAACTCCCCTCCCCAGGGCACCCCAATGCCCACATCCCTGTATCCTCCAGTGAGACTTATGACATATACAAGTTCAAATGCATCCTTGAAAAAAGGACTGTGCACACTGTTTTGCATTTTGCTTTTCGCCAAACAACATAATTGAGAGCTGATTCCGAACCAGTGAATAGCTAACTGCCGCATGATCTTCACAGCTGTGTAATTTCCCACCGTGCAATGCATCCTGATCCTCCAGGCCCGCTCCCCTTCTGCAGACAGTTTTTGGTGCAGAGGAGGATGTGAACCCGTCCAGGGAGGACCTGCCCTTGGCTGGCGGGGTGCAGGCCCTGGAGTCAGCCCTGGGTGTCAGGCCCTTTCTTTCAGAAGCTCAGGAGATCATTTTGGGAGCTCTGGGCTCCTGGGAGCCTTGCTCTGTTCTTGGTAAATGAGGTGTGAAGGGATGACAGTTTCTCTGCATGCCAGAACTCGGGGACCACTGTCATTGCCGCCTCCACTGACTCTATTATCTGCCCAGACCTGGAAGCAGATCAGGAATATTTACTCAGGGCCAGCACTGAATGGACACCAGTGGTGTGCCTCCAAGTCCAAGAGTCTCATGCTCATTGTCCAGACAAGGAAAGAAAGGCTCAGAAAGGTGTAGCAACTTGCCCAAAGTCACACAGCTAGCAGGTGGTAGAGATTTGAGCCACAGGCTCATTCCATGATGCTTGTTTGCCCGGAAAGGAAACAGAGTTGGGGGTGAGGGTGGGAACAAACTTTGACAAAAAAAGAGGGGTCTGTTGTCCTTCAGCCCAGACCCCTTTTGGCAGCGCCCGAAGTCAGCGAGCCCTTGTTCACCTGCATTTGTCGAAGCACCTGGTACCTAGCTTGTGCTCAGTGACCTGAGAAATTGCACTGCTGGCTATCGAGGGATGAGAGGGAGGGCAGGGGTGGGGCACAGTGTGTTCTCCTGTAACCCGCTGCCTTGGCTCCTCCCACAGTCCGGCTCCACGACAGCATCTCCGAGGAGGGACACCATTACCTGATCTTCGACCTGTGAGTTTGGACTCACCCTGGGATGTACAGTGCATATCAGGGCAGCCCGAGCAGGGATGACCTCTCTGGGTCCCTTGGCCCGGGGGTCCCAAATGACCCCAGACTGGGCTGAACTCTCTCTTCTGATAGAGTTTCCCAGACGTGATAAGTCTGCTACCCAAGCACTGCAGGTTGGTGTTCCTGAAACACCAGCACATTCACTTCGTTTCTATTTGTGGCCACTGGTGATACACAGTTTTCTTTTGGAATAATGTTAAAGTTTTGAAAGCCAATCGACTGAATGAAAAACAATAATTAAATGAGAGGCCTGGGTGGTTCCTGGATTAGTAGAGAAGCTGTGACGACACTGGTCTCATATGTAAAAAAACAAACAAACAAAAATAGCCCTTGAGAGGTTGGTAGTGGGGGAGGCTATGCATATGGCAGGGACAGAGGTGTATGGGAAATCTCTGTGCCTTCTGCTCAGTTTTGCTGTGAACCTAAGTACTCTAAAGATAAAGCCCAAGTGCCCATCAGTAGACAAATGGATGCAAGAACTGTGGTACATGTACCCAATAGAGTACTATGCAGCCGTGAAAAAGAAGGATCTCTTACCCTTTGAAACAGCATTAGCGGGGGGACACCTGAAGAGTATTGTGCTAAGCGAAATAAGCCAGAGAAAAACAAGTATCACATGATCTCACTTATCTGTGGAATCTAATGTACAACATGAACTGACAAACAAAATAGGTCCAGAGACATGGAAGTATGGAACAGACTGACAAACCTCAGAGGGAAGGGAGGAGGGGGGACAGGAGGAGATTAACCAAATAACTTATATGGATACGTGCATAGCCCATGGACACAGACAATAGTGAGGTGAAGGCCTGCAGTGGGATGGGAGCTGGGGGGAATTAAAGGGGAGAAAATGGGGGACATTTTCTCAACAATAAAAATAAATTTAAATAAATACATAAATAAAGTCTATTAAAAAACAAAAGAAGACCCAGCCCTTGGGCTTCTGGGAACCTAATGAATCCTAGTGATATATTGAGAGTCCCACGCTAACTCCAGCCAGGGCCTGGTGGGGGAGAAGAGCCAAGGATGGAGGGAGGGAAGTTAGTGGAAGCGTGTGTTGGAAGCCAGAAAGAGGGTTGTAGCAGGGGAAACCCCTATGACCCCTGGGGCCTTTCCCTTTGGGACTGAGGTTCTGAGGTCCCCAGGCCCCACCTTTGTTCCCTGGAGACTCTTCCAGAAGAGGCAGCACCTGGGGCCTCCGTGGGTGGGTGACTTTGTGCCTGTCTCCCTAGGGTTACTGGTGGGGAGCTGTTTGAGGACATCGTGGCCCGGGAGTATTACAGTGAGGCTGATGCCAGGTGAGTTCCAGGTGTGGCCTGGCAACTGCAGCTGGGGCAGGGCATCTTGCCTGCCACCTTCCCAGGGGAGGCTCGTTTTCACACGGTGACCCCTGCCTTTCTCTCCCCAGTCACTGTATCCAGCAGATCCTGGAGGCCGTGCTGCACTGCCACCAGATGGGGGTGGTGCACCGGGACCTGAAGGTGAGCGACCGCCCGGCCCAAGGGTGCAGCTCACCAGGGAGCCTGCTCCTCCGCCCCCTGCCCTCCCTCCACCTGCAGAGCCACCGGTGTTATCAGGGTCCCTTTAATTTCCCAGAGTTGGGCTGGATGGAGAATATTCCCCTCGCTGTTCAGATAAGAAACTGGGTTTAAGGAGGTCGAGCATCTGGGCTCGAGACCCAGGCCTCCTGACTCCCAGCCCGCTGTGCTTTGTGCCAAGCCCGGTGAAACGGTTTGAATGCCAACACTGGCTATGGTCTGGTCCAAATCCCAGTGGGGCCACTTTCTAGCTTCACAGTGTCAGCTTCTTTACGGTGGGGGTTGCCATAGCAACCTCTGCATGGATGTCAAAGGAGATAGCACAGTGCCTGGTACATGGACGTGTTGTTACTCTTATTTCTGGGTCTCTGGCAGGTGGGGGACAGGGGGAGAATAAAAACAGGCCTTGAGGCCCTCCGAGTCCTCTCTCTCCTCATCTGAATAAGGACGTGGGCAGGACAAGCAGATGTGGAGGCTCGGGTTGGCATCGGCGGCACGGCCTTGCCTGGTCAGCACAGACCTCACAGCTCTCCTCTGCTGGGCTTCATCGCCTCTGCAGCTGGTAGCTCATAACATCACTCCCTTCTGCAGAGCAGGACACTAGGCCTAACGAGTCGCAGGGATTTGCCTGAGACCGTGTAGTTCGGTTGTGCTTGAGCTAAGGCTGGAGCCCTGGCCTCTGACCTCAGATCCCAGACCCTGGGTGGTCTGGGGCCATAAAACCACTCAATCCAGCTCCTGCTTCTGCAGTAGCCCCTTCTAGGTGACCCTGCTGGGTATCCATCAAACCTCTGCTTTTTGGTCTTCAGTGACTATGAGCTTACTTCTTACAGGGTAACCCCTGCATCACTTGGAAATGCTCCATTCTTCCCTGCTAGGGGGGTTTCCCATAAGCCCCAGTTCTACCCTTTGGGGCCACATAGAGCAAGCATCCAGCTCAGGAGCCTGGCGGCACTTGGGTGGCTTTGTCATCTGCAGGCTGTAGTTCCTGAGTCATGTGTAGGCTGCTCTCCTTTCCCAGCCAGGACAGGACTTCTAGGCCCTTCTCCTCCTGGGCACCCTCCTTGGGCACTCTCCGGTCAGTCCAGGTCCCTCTTTGGGGTGAAACACTGAGCAGAACCTCTGCTCACCTCTACTGTCATGAGTAGTCCGTGGCTCCTCACCCGAATGCAGGTGAGCTCCCTGCGGCTCAATCCAGACTCACAGGCAAGAAGGTCTCTGGCCAGACTGCAGGGTGGCTCTCCCCAAAGGCCTGCTCCCATTATAGCTGCACCCCTGCCCGGGAGGAGGGAGGAGGGAGGAGGGAGGAGGAGAGAAAGCAGAAATTTAGGCCACGCTGGATGGAATAATTAGTGGCACATCCATCAAATCAGGACAGGACAGCTACTGAGACCCAGGGCACGTTGGGAACACAGTCCCCAGAGGACAAAGGGGCTTTAAAGAGCTATATTTGTGTGCGGCCTGTCCGGCTTTGGGCAATAAAAGGTCAGACGTGGGACTCCCGTGGCAGTCCCAGTGGGGAAGGGGGTCAGAGGAATCCAGTTGTCTCCAGAGACTCGGAGCCCACCCCCTACCCAGGCAGACAGTGTGAGTACTGATGCTTACCAGGCACTTGCTGTGGCCTCTGGGAAGTATTTCATCTAGATGACTGAGGTTAATGTCTGCCACCCCATGATATACACATCATCCTCCTTTTCTGGGAGGAAACTAAAGCTCACAGAAGTGAAATAATGTATCCAAATTCCATAGCTGGAATCAGAAGCTGGGGCTCTCTAACCCGGAAGTCTGCACTCCTCACTCCTCTCTGTCTGGATAGGGTGATTTCCTGTTCTCCAGACTCAGCAGGAGACAGCAGTCTCAACACCCCAGACGCCAGGTGGCATGTCTGAGGCCCCCATAACCCCCTTCCCCATCCCTGTCTCTCAGCTTAGAGTAGTTAAGAGCACGGCTTAGGAGCCAGACTGTGCCTCGATTCTGGATCTATCTCTTACCAGCTCTGTGATCTTTGTCAAGTCACTTAACCTCTCTGAGCCTTAGTTGTCTCCTTTTTCTATATATGACAAATACTAAGTACCCGATATGTGTGGGCCCCTGTCTTCGGTGCTGGTGATCCAGTGATGGACAGGACAGGTAATTCGCATACTATAGGGTGACAGATAATGAACAAGCACATAGACAGATGGGGGGAAAACATTACAAATCGTAATGAGATCTATGAAGGTAACAACAAGGAGCTAAGCTAGAAGATACCCAGAGATAGAGTAGTCATGGAGGGCTTCTTGGAAGGGGTGACATGAAGGTGAGAGTCAGATGAAAAGAAGGGGCCAGCCCTGTGAAGCTCAGAGGGAGAACAAATTAGGCAGGGGGGAACAGGGTGTGCAAAGGCCCTGAGGTGGGAACAAGCATGATTGGTTCAGGGGATATAAGAAGGCCACTGCAGAGAATGGGGATAATTATGCCTACCCCAAAGAGTTGTTGAGATGATAAATGAGGTGATGTATGCAAAACCCTTAGCCTAGTGGCTGGCACATAGTAGAGGCCCAGTAGAGTTGCTTCTTTTTTCTTATTGTGGTGGTGGCTGTCCCCCAACCCCCACCTCCAGCATTCACCTCAGCCCCAGCTCCAGATGCTGAGGGGAGGGGAGGGGAAGGAGGGGGTGGCTGGTGGAGGAGGGGTCTTTGTGTTGCAGAAGACAGAAGACTTGTAGTGGGGTAGTCCTCTCTCTGGGGACTAAGCTCAGGGTCCTGGGGTTGGAGCTAGAGGTAGGGGCAGGATGCCTCTGGACTATCCAGCTGTTCCACCTATAAACCCAGGTCCCTGGAGATGAGGTTCTGAATCCGCTCACTGTCCTCTGGCCCTTTCCTTCCCCCTGTTCCCTCTTCTCTCTGGTCCTGAAAAGCCGGAGAATCTACTGCTGGCCTCCAAGCTCAAGGGCGCCGCAGTGAAGCTGGCGGACTTTGGCCTGGCCATAGAGGTGGAGGGCGAGCAGCAGGCATGGTTTGGTGAGTGGGGGCAGGGGCTGGCAGGGGTGTAGGGGCCAGCCTTGTGTTGACATGTTTGCCTCTAGGAACCCTCTGCCCGCACAGGGGCAGGTTGGAGATGGTATTGTACCAGCCAGGGCTCAGGTAGCAGAGTCAGAGTCCCCTCTCCACCCAGCCTCTGGGTGTTGTCCCTCTCCCTGGGAGCCAGGTGCAGGGACATAGTCATCATTCAAACAGTACATGGCTTCTTCACATGCATACACTCCTTCACTGTTGGCTAGAGGCTTCTGCCGGTTTCCCTAACATCCTGAGTGCTAGAGATTATTATCCTGACGTTACAGTTGAGGAACAGAAGCTAAGAAACCTGGAAAAGGCCAAAGGAGATTAAAAGGGGTAGAGCCCGTTTTTAAGCTCGGACGATCCAGCATGCTCTGAGATTTGGGCATAACTGAGTCTTTTCAGCTATCTGGGGACACTTTGTAGTGGGCAATATTGATCAGTGGTTAAGAGCCAGAGCTCTGGGTTCAAATCCCACATCTGCTACCTATGAGATGTGGGACTAGGTCTCATTTCACCTCTCCTAGCCTGTTTTCTCATCTGTAAAGTGGGGATAATAACAGGATGTTCCTCCGCGCTGTGTGAGGGTTAAACAAGATCAGCATGGAAGTGCTCAGCCCTGCTTAGCACACACTGTCAATAAACAGGATCTATTCTTATGATTACTTGTCAAAACAACCAGGGTGTCCATTATTTCAATCGATCCTCCCAACAACGCTGGGAGGTATTTAAGATAGGAATCCCTAATCCCTCATTGGACAGATGAGGAAACTGAGGCCTAGAAAAGAGACCTGCTCGAGGGACTTAGGGTAGAGCCAGAGTTAGCGGCCGGCTCCTAGGAGGGGTGGCTCAGCTGGGGGCTGACAGCGCAGGGCATGTTATCTTGGGTGCCAGCAGCCGCTGATCGGGGAGTGTGCTAGAAGTTTGTGGCGCTGAGTCAGGACCCCGTGGGAAGGACTCGGATTGATCACTGACTTCTGCCATAGGTTCTGGAGTGGAGGTGGTGACGAGTGTACTATGTGCTTGTCCACCCTGGTCTAGAGGCATTGCAGGCCCCATCTGAGGGCAGGGGGTATTTTTACCATTTCCAGGGCACCCCTCATCCTTCTTCCAGTAGGATGGATTACTCTGGGTTACTCACGTGCCATCCTGTGTGTGTGTCTGCCTGTCTGTGTCTGGGGAGCAGGGTTCGCAGGGACACCGGGGTACCTCTCTCCAGAAGTGCTTCGGAAGGACCCCTATGGAAAGCCTGTGGACCTGTGGGCCTGCGGTGAGTCCTTCCAAAGGCCCCTCCATCCCCCTCTCTCTTCTTTGCCATTACACTCCGCCCCGCCCCGTTGCTCCTCCTCCAAGGGGTTGACGTCCCTCCTGGGGCTCTCCGCAGGGGTCATCCTGTACATCCTGCTGGTTGGCTATCCCCCGTTCTGGGACGAGGACCAGCACCGCCTGTACCAGCAGATCAAAGCTGGCGCCTATGATGTGAGTGTCGCTCCTCTCTCCGGCCTCCTTGCCACCCCCTGGCCCTTCCAGTGAAAGCCAATGCCCAGTGAGGTCAGGACCTGAGGATGCCCACTCCTCCGCCCTCCCAGCCCATCGAGGTCTCCTTGCCACCCTCTAATGGTGGGGCAGGTGGAGCTCGAGGGCTGACTGAGGCCAGGCGATGAGCTGGCTGTGCCTAATGACCGGGGCCTCTAAGTGATGGGTTTAGCTCATGGGGCCCCAGAAGGCAGAAGCAGCAGCAAAATATGTTTAGAGGTGGGAGGGCAGGTCGCAGGAGCCAGGTTGCCAGGCTTCCTCTCTCTCTCTCTCTTTCATATATATGTATGTGTGTGTGTGTGTGTGTGTATATGTATATATCTCCACATATATACACACAAACAATAATAGCTAACACTCATATAGCACGCTTCCCAACGCTTTCTAGACATTATTACAGTTAATCCTCACATCAATCTATGGCATAGGTACTGTTACTGTCCCCATCTACAGGTGAGGCACAGAGAGGTTCAATAACTGCCCAGACCACATAGCCAAGACATGGAAGAGCTGGGATTTGAACTCAGGCAGTCTGGCTCTAGTGTCTATGCTTCTAACTACCAAACTAGACTGCTTTTCTACATGGCTGATTTCCGTCAAGCTATGTGCCATGTGTTTGATACCATAGTTAATCCTCACAACACCTCTAGGGACAGCTCCGGAGTCATGTGACTTGCCCAAGGTCACTCAGCCCAGGAAACAGACTTGAACCCAACCTTGTGATCCCAAAGTCTGGGCTGTAACCACAGGCCTGCTGGCCGCCAGATAAGGCCCAGCCTCAGTATAGCACGGGAAGGCCTCCTCTCCCTCCGGCCACTGTTCTGACATGTCCTGGGTCAGGGGGCCCTGCCCCAACTCCTCCTGGTTGTGGATGCCCAAGTGGATGGGCAGTAGGACCCCTGCCTGCTCCCCTGCCAGTCAGGGGCTGGGGGATCGCAGGGGTGGCCTGGGGTAGGCTGGGCAAACCTGGCCCCTCTGCCCCTTTCAGTTCCCGTCACCAGAGTGGGACACGGTCACCCCAGAAGCCAAGGATCTGATCAACAAGATGCTGACCATCAACCCATCCAAACGCATCACGGCCGCCGAGGCCCTCAAGCACCCCTGGATCTCGGTGAGCCTTCCTCAGCAAGACCCTTCCCAGGAGCCCCTCCAGACCTCAGGGTTAAGGCCTTCACAGAGCCCTGTCCCTGTCCCTGTCCCTGGCTTCTTGGGCCCAGCCTGGGTCCAAGGGGCCTTAATCCAAGAGACATTGACCCTCTGTGGTTCTCAGGAGAAGTTAGAAATATGAGGTTGGCATCAGGACCGGGGTGCTACTGGCACTGAATGTCTGGTCCCTGAATGCTAAGCACCAGCAATGTTTACAACATCCCCTAGAACAAGGAATTATTTCTCCCAGATGCCAACCACACCCATAAGACACCCTGCTGAGGGGCCCTTGGGTAGGCCTGCCTTCCACTTATGGAATTCTTCCCCACTCCCCCCAGCACCGGTCCACCGTGGCCTCCTGCATGCACAGACAGGAGACCGTGGACTGCCTGAAGAAGTTCAACGCCAGGAGAAAACTGAAGGTAACAGGCCTCACCCTCCGTGCCCCAGACACGAGAGTAGCTTGGCCAGGAGACCCACACACTGTTCTTTCCTTCATTGAGTCCACAAACATTTACTGAACACCCGCTGCCTGGGCGGGGCAGCGAAGACAGACATGGGACATTATGGGGCCGTGGTGAGTGCCGAGATTGCACGCCCCGAGGGCCACGAAGCAGGACTAGAAGGACCAGGGAAGGATCCTGGAAGCCTCCCAGGGAAAGTCAGATTTAAGCTGAGACCCCGAGGATAAGCAGGCATTCCCAGTGGAGAGTCAGCGTGGGCAGATGTTCCGGACAGAGAGAAAAGCCTGGGTAAGAAGTCTGGAGGCGTGAGCTTGATCCTGGCTTAGGGGGACTGCCGTGTTTCAGCAGAGGTTTCGGAGGTGACACGTGATAGGGCAGGAGGCCGTGTTGGGGCCCCAACTGCCAAGCACTGGAGAGGAATGGCTCAGAGACTTGGGTAGGGGTGGTGACCCCAAGGAAGCTTCAGGCGGATCCAGTTGGGCCCTGAACTGCCGGCCTCTCAGCAGGTCCTGTATGTTCTCAGGGCCATGACAACTCCTAGCCTAGACCTTGCCAGGGACCCCATGAGCAGGTGGGAAGAGCGACCAAGGGGTCACCGGCTGGCAGGAACAGAGAGCCTTCAGCATGCTGAGGGACAGATGCTGAGGCCCTGGCTCACTGAGAACTTCCTCACAAACTCCCGGGCCTGGCGTGGGGGCTCAGGATGGGGACATGGGCCAAGGGGGTGGAGGCCAGCATGGTGCCAGAAAACTACCACCCCCAGCCCCTAGTGGGAGCTGTCATGGAAGAAGTCTCGGAATGTCAGAATCAGGGATTCTTTTTTTTTTTTAATCCTCACCCGAGGACATTTTTCCATTTTTTGTTCAGGTAGAATGGGAGGGAGAGAGAGGAACAGAGAGAGAGAAACATCGATGTGAAAGGAACACATCGAGTGGCTGCCACCCGCATGGCTGACCAGGGCCGGGGACAAACTGCAACCGAGGTACCTGCCCTTAGCGGGAACCGAACCCAGATCTCTCTGGACCGCAGGCCGACGCTCTAACCGCTGAGCCAAACAGGCCAGGGCAGAATCAGAGATTCTTAAAATCATAGACTATTGGACTCAGAGAGTGTCAGTGTCCAAATCAGACTGTTAGAACCAAAAGGGCCGTTGTGCCCCAGCCCCTTGTTGACATGAACCTTCCAGGGTTCCCAGGTCAGGGACCACAGTAGTAATAGAGTGAGGTTCTGAGTGCCCGGGCGGAGGGTGGACGGGGGAGGGGCCAGGGGCACAGGGTCTACTGTCCTTGCCCAGGCAGGAAACTTCCTTGGCCTTTAACAGCTCCCACTGACAGGTGTCCCCGAGCCCATCCACCAGCTCTGGCCAGGCTGGCGGAACCTATTAATATCTGCTCCTGGGATGGCCCTGTCCCTAGAGCGGCACCAGCTAAGGTTGCATTCACCCTGATTTTTCCAGGGGGTGGGGGTTGGTCCCTGGGCTGTGGAACGGGGGACAAATGGAGGGGCAGAAGGCCGTGGCTTTGTGTCTGAATGGAGCACCTCGTCTCCTTTCCCACTCATCACCCGTTTCTCTGTCTCTCCTCTCCCTTCTTCCCCCTGGCTGCTTCTCTCCCCCAACCCCACACCCTCTCCTCACCCGTTGCAGGGAGCCATCCTCACCACGATGCTGGCCACCAGGAACTTCTCTGGTAGGTGGCAGGACCTCAAAGTCCCAAATTCATCCTGCAGGAGGTGGGGACATTGTCATGTCGGGTTCCTGAGTACCCTCAGGCCAGGGGGCCTGAGGAGAGCAGGGGCTGCAGAGGACCCGGTGACTGGCCCACCTGATGCAAACCTGCACCCAGAAGCGGGGAAAGGTCAAAGGTCAGCAAGCTAAGGGCTCAGCAGGGAGGGTCAGAGGTTTAGTCTGCCTCCCTCACCTCACAGCAGTGCATGGGGTCTCAGGCTGGGCCAGCCAGAGGGGAAGGCCTCACAAATGTTGGGGTCCAGGTCCAGTGGGACTGAGCCAGACTCAGCGAGAGGCAGTGTTCCTGTTCACCATCATCACTGGGGCCCAGGTGTCCACTCTGGTGGCCTTTATGACAAGGCAGTGGGCCGTTGCCATTCCTGAAGGTGGGCCAGGCGGCATCGCTAGGGGGAGGCAGAGACTGTTATCAGCGAGGGTTTGACACCCCCCCCCCTTGCAAGTGCCCTTAGCCAGGGTGAGTCACCGGAGAGTCCAGGGTAGGAGCCTTTGGCCTTGGCCAAAGCCAGGCTGGGTAGGGCGGGGAGTGCCCAGTGACCTGTGGCATGTGGCCCCCAAAGAGAGAAGGGGAAGGGATTAGTGTCAGGGTTTAGCAAGAAGCTCCCCCTGGCACACTGGAGAGTCCTGGGACCAGCGATGCCAGCGGCTTCTCTCTGGGGAGCCCGGAGGCTGACCGGGCAGCTGAGCCGTTGTACCAGAGCTCACCCGAGGGGCCCTCTGACTGGGGCTGGCGCCAGCCTGCCAGGGCTGCTGTGGGCACAGGGCCGGCCCCACAGCTAGGGGTCGGCTCCGGGGAGCCACAGCCCAGGCTTCGCTGAGAGGGTCCACCTGCCCACGTAACCAGCTGGAGGAATGAGACCCAGGTAGGAAAACGCTGCAACTTCAGATCTGGGCCTCTGCCTCTGCCTGAACCGCCTTCCCAGTCTCTCCCCAGACAAGGATCCTGCAGCTCCTTCAGCTGAAACATGAGCCACCCAGGCAGTCAGAGTCTTTTTTTAACAGCTGAAGTGCCCCTAGGGAACTCCAATCCAGCACGGACAAGATGGTGCCTGTGGGTTGGCTCCAATCTGTAGATGTGCTTAGGTGGGGTCAGTGGGGTTTAAAAAGCTTTTTGGAAACAGTTTCCAGCACTTAAACATCAGGAATTTCCTGGGAAAGTCCAGATCTCTGTCTTCCTTGGAAGTCAGAGTGTGTGGCCTCACAGGACGCGGAGTCTTGTGATAGTGGCTGGAGTTGAGAGGGACAAGGAACCCCCCACACTACAGCCTAGTTCAGCCCACAAAGCCTGTGTGTGTGTGTGTGTGGGGGGGGGGGGGTGACAGCCACTCCCTTTGGCTTTGGGCCAAGAGGTACCCACTTGCTTTACAAGAGGGACACTTTGGATGAGAGCCTGGTAGGGGTCATCGGAAATGTGAGGGTGACCGGGAAGCTGGACAGACCATGAGCCCCATCCTTCAAAGCCTCTGGGGCTCCAGCACCCCGTATGACCCCTGGTCTCCAGCCTACTCTCTCCAGGCCACCAGGAGAAGGACAAGTGGCTGCCATTTACTGAGCATCTACTTCCCAGAGGTCAAGCGCTGGGCTCAGTAAGCACTTTCTAGATACCTTATTTCATTTAACTTGAGGCATTTGCTTGAGGTCTGAGCCGCCGGATGCCAGGTTGGGCAGGGCTGGGCGCTCATATGCCACTTCCTGGCCAAGGGCTCGGGCCAGGAGGCGAGGGGGGAGGGAGAGGGGAACGACAGAGGTGGAGCCTCCTGAGATTTGTTGCTCTGCTTTCCTGGCTGCCAGGGACAGAGCCCAGCCCAGCCTGGAGCTCTGGAGTTCGAGGGTGGGGAGGCCTCCGCCAGGATGGGTGCCCTGGCAGGGGTGGGCCCCAGAAGGGGGCATCTGCTTCTTGTCACTGGCAAAGCACAGCTCGCAGCTGTCCAGAGTGAGTAGGCAGGGCTGACACATGACCTCCGCAGCAGCATGGGGCTAAAATTAGAGCGGGCTGGGCTGGGGAGGGAGCGTTCTGCCCCGGCCGGGCAGCCGGGCCTCCGGGTTGGCCACCTCCAGCACGGGTGGTGACCAGGATCCAGAGGGAATCCCCGGGCTCAAACAGTAGCTCACGGTCCTGGGACGTCCTGGATACCTTCCTTCACCTCGACCCATGGGGCTAGGGGGTCACACTTGAGATCGCTGAGAACTGTGGGAGCCCAGGCCCACCCCGTGGGCAGTCTCGGGCTCCGGGGAAGGGAGAAGCAGGAGGAGGAGTTCTCCCCGGATCGCTGAGCCGGCTCCCTGCCCTCTGGCTGCCCGTGGATGCTGCTGTTCCTTGCCCTATGGGCCCTGGTGCCCTGCCTGGTGTTGGTAACCCTCTACTTTCTCTCCTCCATAGGAGGGAAGAGTGGAGGAAACAAGAAGAATGATGGCGTGAAGGTAAGCCCCTGGAAGCCCACAGGGCCTCCTCTGGCAGCGTTTCTGCCCAGAGGGCCCAGCTTTCAGGGCCGGGGCAGGACCCGGGCCCCGCTGATGGTGTTCTGGGCAGATGCAGTCACTTCTGCAGCTGGGCCACCCCAGACCCAGAGACCTGGGCTTTGGTTCCTGCCCTCTCGTCGGGGGAGGGCGAGGAGAGGGGGTTGAAAGCCTGGGGGAGATGCAGGTGGCCTTGGGTTGGAGCAGGTATAAGGGAAGGGGCAGGTCCGAAGGAGGTTTCTGGGGCTGGAGGACTGGTGAACAGAGGGTACAAGGAAGGTTTAGAGATGATCATGAGGGGTGACCTCCTCTTTCCCGAGCGTGTGCTGGCTGGAATGGCCCCTGACCCGAAGTACACCCCGGCCCAACCCACAAGCCTGTGGAGGATGGATAGCCATTCCTCTCCGCTTTGGGGTCCAGAGGTACCTCTCCCCATCAAGGCCTGCCGGTTCACTGATTTAGTGCCAAGCATCCCCTCCTCCCCTGACCCAGCCTGCCCTCTGTCCCCCCTCCCAAGCCCGATGCCCGAGCTACTCCATACACAAACCCCTGACCCTCCTGCCCTCCTCTCTCTTCTCCCTCTGCTCTCTGGGGCCTGGTCCCCACTCTCTGCAGCTCCCTTCTCCCTGCCACTGGCTCGCCTTGTGGGTTCTCTTCTTTTGAGACCCTGCCTTTCTCTGGGCTCAGAGCCCTGCCTGGCCAGGGCCCCAGGGCTGGGCTGTGTACAGGACACTGGAAGGTGTGGGACACTGTCCAAACACAGTCACCCAGATGGGCTGGTGGCTTCGTGGCTTCATTTGTAGTGGCATTTACAGTCTCAGGCCGCTGGTTTTGGTCTGGCACGGTTACACGGGAGGGGGTCTAGGCTGGCTGTCGGAGGCCAGGGTTTGGGCCTTCCCTCTGCAGACTTCAGTTTTCCCGTAGCTACGATGAGGGGGCGGGAGGAGTGTGGTCTGCATGGTGTCCAGGATTTCAGCTTTAAAACACACACACGAGCCCTGGCCGGTTTGGCTCAGCGGTTGGAGCGTCGGCCTGTAGACCAGAGAGTCCTGGGTTCGGTTCCCGCTAGGGGCATGTATAAAACACACACACACACACACACACACACACACACGCAGGAAAAAGGGGGGGGCAACAAAACCTTATCTAGTCACTCTCCCTTCTCATCTTGGGTGCCAAGGAATACCTAATTATTGGTTGTCAGCCAAAGTCAGTGGTTTTCAAATGGAAGTCCTTGGAGCCCAAAGATTCTGGGGAAGCACCCCCAGCAGCAGATGGGGTGGAGTGGGATCAGAAGCGGGGGGCAAGCAGAGAAGATTCTGGGCTTTCCATGCCCACTTCAACCAGAATGGCTCCATGGACCAGCCAGCACCGCGGTTAAGAGAGCTTGGGCGGGCTTGGCAGCCGCAGACCTTGGCTTATTTGAATCCCCTGAGCCTGTGTTTCCTCATTCAGGCAGCCGGGGAAAAGGGGTTTCCACCTGCAGGGCTGCTTGTGAGGAGCCGAGATCACGTGTGTTGAGGGCTTAGCACGGGGCAGGGCGTACGACACATGGTCATGGGGTGCCGGCCAGTATTGTTATCTTTTGTTTTATATATTGGACATCCACGTTCAGATCTGTCTTGAAAACAAAGTTTGCTCAGGAAAGTATTTGGTAATCCACAGATGCAGAGCTGACCCAATTTCTAAAGTTAACACCCCGAGTCCTGTGATGGAATTCAGAACCGAGCTTTGTTGTTTTGGGTGCCCCATCAGTCAATCCCACCCACCACCCCTTTGAAAGGGTGATGGGGTGCCATGTGGTGGACTGGTTTGGAGCAGCTGGCGCTCTCTCCGGCCCTAGTTGGTAGACACTGGGATTCTGGGTTCCCTCGGTTTCAGAGGCCACAGGAGCTGGTGTGCCGTGGCCCTGGTCAGTGGAGGAAGAGGAGGCAGGGGGAGGGCTGTCCCGGTCTGCTTGGCTCGTGGGTGCAGCCCTGGCAAAGGCTAACTCAGAGCCACTGGTGTGAGGTCAGGGCCTCCCGCAGGCAGGGCCTTGGGACAAGTTCTGGTCTGGCAAGGCCCGGAGGCAGAGACTGTCCGAAGGCAAGGACGTGGCGTGGTGGGGCTCTGGCTAGTCACCGCAGGGCTTTCCAGTGGGCACAGCTGAAATAAGTGTCCCTCCTTCAGCAGCTAAGACTGAGTGACTTCTCAGGGCGGCCTGGGTATGGATGAACAGAAGCTCAAAGGCTGTTCCTGGCCCGACCGTCTCTCTGTAGCTCAGCCTCCTTCCCCTCCTTGGGGTGGAGGAGGGAGAAGTCCAGCTGGAAGACAAGCCACCCAGGACCTTGCCCAGGATTCGGGGCACACCACCTGCAATATGTCACTCTAGGGGTCCGGTCATGTTTTCACTGTGAGTGAAACTGGACCTAGTCAAGAAGCCAAGGGTTTGAGTCTGAGCCCCACTGTCTTCCCCCTCGGGGACCTGAGTCATCGCTTCTGTCATCTGAGCGAGGGGAGAGTGGCAGTTGCTGGTGGGACCTGGTGGAGTCATCGTGTGCTTCTTTAGCTGACACACGTTCAGCCAAAGTGGGGACATACAGATTCTTCCTACAGCATCATTCTAGAGACAGACGACCGACGGCATCCGGGGCTTCGCAGAAGAAGCAGGGACTGGCCCCGACGCTGGAGGACAGCTGGCCAGTCGGAGATAGAGCTATGACACAGTGCTGTACTTTCTGAGCCTTTAATGGCTCTTCAAGGCTAATGGTGACTCTACTGCGCTTCTACCCTCCTTGCTAACCTTAGAACCATGCTTTTCTCCAGGTGGTTCTAAAAGATGCGACTCCACTTTTGGTGAAAGCCCCTTGTAAATTAAACTCGAACTTGCCGGTCAGCGTGGGGTTATTAGTATCCTCATCATTCGTGACTCGGGGAAATTGAGTCTTTCCATTACCAAGAAACGATGCCCCCTCCCAACCACCCCGAGGCCTCTACTGCTACGAGGAAGGGCCGACTGCTCCCACCCCTTAACCCCACTCACTGCCCGTTGGTGTCCCATGCGTGCCGTTGTGACTTCTCTCCCCCATGTCCCATCCTGTCACTGTACGTCCTAATCTGATGCAGTCTCTGCTCTGTGTTCCCTCCTTGTGTCCTGCCTGGAACCTCCTGGCCCCCTCGGGCCACTCTTCAGGTATCTGCTGAGAGCCGAGCTGGGAGGACCTGTCTTGGCTCCACCCAGGATTGGGGCTGACTCCAGGAGGGGAGGGGAAGAGAGAAGAGGAGAGGAGAGGAGAGGAGAGGAGAGGAGAGGAGAGGAGAGGAGAGGGGAACAGAGGAGAGGAGAGGAGGGGAACAGAGGAGAGGAGAGGAGAGGAGAGGAGAGGAGAGGAGAGGAGAGGAGAGGAGGGGAGAGGAGGGGAACAGAGGAGAGGAGAGGGGGGAGAGGAGAGGAGAGGAGAGGAGAGGAGAGGAGAGGAGGGGAGGGGAGAGGAGGGGAGGGGAGGGGAGGGGAGGGGAGAGGAGAGGAGAGGAGAGGAGAGGAGAGGAGAGGAGAGGAGAGGAGAGGAGAGGAGAGGAGAGGAACAGAGGAGAGGAGAGGAGAGGAGGGGAGGGGAGGGGAGGGGAGGGGAGGGGAGAGGAGAGGAGAGCGGAACAGAGGAGAGGAGAGGAGAGGAGAGGAGAGGAGAGGAGAGGAGGAGAGGAGAGGAGAGGAGAGGAGGGGAACAGAGGAGAGGAGAGGAGAGGAGAGGAGAGGAGAGGAGGGAGGGGAGAGGAGGGGAGGGGAGGGGAGGGGAGGGGAGGGGAGGGGAGGGGAGAGGAGAGGAGAGGAGAGGAGAGGAGAGGAGAGGAGAGGAGGGGAACAGAGGAGAGGAGAGGAGAGGAGAGGAGAGGAGGGGAACAGAGGAGAGGGGAACAGAGGAGAGGAGAGCAGTGAAGGGCAGAGGACGTGCTGTCTGCAGGCTGCTGGCTTTGGAAGTCACACTGTCCAGCCCAGCCGGAGCAGATGCAGGAGCTGTGAGCATTTACGCTGGAGATGCCCAGTGAGCCGCCCCTGCCATGTCTCTGGGGGCCCTGGGTGGAGAGCACAGGATCTCAGGCTCCTGGCACTCAGAGGCTCTTGGAGTCAGAAAGCCCTGAATTAGACCCGAGGACCGCCAGAGAGGACTGTGCCTTGGAGAAGGATAGGCCTTTGAGGAGCGGTCAGGCTGTGGGTGCCTGAGACCTGGACAGAGGAGTGAGTGGCACTCAGGGGTCTGGCCTCTGCTCTGCTAGCAGCCAGCTGAGAGACCTTGGGCAGATCACTGCCCATCTCTGGGCCCCAGTTTCTCATCTGTGCAATTCAAGGGTCAGTCTTGACCTGGAACCCTCTATGAATATGGTCTTTAAGACTCTTGGCTTAGAGCTGAGGGAAGAAGAAAATTTACCTTTGTCTTCTCTCTCTTCTTCCCTTGGTTCCACAGCCAGTAAAACAGGGACAGCTACACCCCCACCCCCCCAAAGCTAGAACAGGCTGAAGGGCAGGGCCCAAAGGCACAGATCTGGCTCCGCTGTGTGTCTGGCTGGGCCTCGCTGTCTAGGCCAGTCGCTGGGAAGCTTTGAACGCAAGCAGAATTTCAGGGACTGGTTCCCACTCCTGGCCCTGCTCTAGAATCTGCTGGAGATACTGTTTTCCATGGAAATCCTCAGGCCCCAACCCAGGCTGAGTTACCGAACTCCTCGAAGGGGCCTGGTTAGATGTGTTTTTGACAAGTTTCCTAAGTGACCGTGACACCTGGGGTCCTTTCAGCAGAGATGCATGAGGAGTCTAGGAGAGATTGGGCCTCATCGCCAGACCTGAGCACCCTTCTGTTCTTCAAGAGCTTTGCGTTCTGGAGGTCTTAGGCAGCTGGTGTCTGAAACCCAGGATTGACTTCCCCATCAGAGCTCGGTGTAGAGGGAGCCCTGGTCCGAGGGAGGCTTGACCTGGAGCTTGGTGGTTGGTCGGTGAGACCCAGACAGCTGTGCATGAGACCCCAGAACTTCAGGCTGAGAGAGGACTGGTCCCACCAGGTCAGCTGCTACCGGTGGCCCTGACTCCTTGCCCCCATGCCCTGCTGGCAAGGGACCACAGAGGATGACCCCGAGGCCCATCCTCCTTCCAAATCTCCCCTGTCATTTGTTCCTCTGCTCCCTGCCGTTTTCACGCTGTGTCTTTTCCTGTCCCATCTCTTCTCCTTGTTTTTCCAGAAAAGAAAGTCCAGTTCCAGCGTTCAGTTAATGGTGAGTGTCTGCCGTCTCCCAAACGCCGGTAAATGCTGGGCCTCGACCCCTTGCTCCTGCCTCCCTCCTGCAGGCTGCACTGGGAACCCGGGGCGGGGAGAGGGTGCTCAGGGCGTGCTTGGTACGTGTGCCTCGTGTGACAATATGTGTGTTGTGTGTGCGTGTTGTTGGTGTTTCTGTTGACACCTCCGACCCCATGGCCCAGACCAGCAGCCTGACAGTAGACCTGAGAACTCCGTCGGGTGTGAAGGTTGATTTGAGCCCCATCCCACATCCAGCCCTCGGCTTCTCGCTTCTCCCCGGCCTCCGCTCTGGAACTCATCTCGGGGCTTGGTTGGTGCCGGTGCGGTGAGGGTGGAGGGGCTCGGTTTGGCCACAGCAGTGGGCGCCGCAGAGGCCCTTCTTGAGCAAGGCTACACAGGGCCTGCCGGTGGCAGAGGAGCCACCCGCCCCTGCCTCTGACTAAACATTCCAGTGGCGGCATGGTGGCCCGTGGCCCTCTTCTTCTGGTTCCATTGCTGTCTCCCTCGGTTGTGTGGTTTTTCTCCCCCTGAAAAGCTCAGCTCTCTCACCCTGGGCCTCCCTCTCTCTCTTTCTTCCTCTCCTGCCAACGTGTGTATTCCTTCCCCATTCTGTGGCCACCATGTGCCTCTCGGCCCCTCCACACCCAGGGACCCCTCCCAGCTCCTCCAGAAAGGCCAGGGTTTTCCCTGCATCCGTCCCTCCATCCACGCTCCGGCCACCGGCCACCTGCTTGGCTGGGCCCTTCCCCTCCTTAGGCCTGGAAGTCTGACAGGGTTTGCAGGGGAGCACCCGGATGGCAGAGCCAGTGAGGCTTACAGAAACTGGGCCGCAGCGTCAGGCAGCCGGGGCAGCCCCCACTGGCCGCGCCCCTTCCTGCCGGCCAGCCGGCCTCACCGCCTCCCTGTTCTCTCTGGCAGGAATCTTCAGAGAGCACCAACACCACCATTGAGGACGAAGACACCAAAGGTAGGGGGGGGCCTTGCCTTTGGCGTCTGGGCCCCCAGGCCTCCTCTGACCCCCTTCACTGACAGCCCCTGGCTTGAAAAGGCCCCAGTGCCAACCTTGTGTCCCCTGCTCTGCGCAGAGCCTCAGTCGGGTTCCTTCCAGACTGAGTGCAGTTTGCGGGCGTGGGACACTCAGCCCACTAGCAGAGCATAGCTGGACTCTTCTTATTGCAGGGGCTATGCATTTGCTTTATTGTGTGTTAGAAAAAACGAATTTAACATATTCCTGTCGTACATGTATCGCAGTGGTACGCATTTTCCTTTTGAAGTCAGATTTTGCCTTTTTTTTTTTTTTAAAGTGTGCTGATTTTTAAAACATGAAGCAATAATCCTAAGGGAAGGGAAAGCAAAAAATGCAGAAAGTTCAGCTGTATTTCATGGGAAACCCTGCCTGGAGCAACCCAGAAGGCAGGAGTGGTTGTGGCCAGTGACCAACAGTCCTCAAAGCCCTCGGTGGACGGGGGAGCAAACCGCCAGGTCATTGTGATCGGCCAGTAAGAGAGGCAGTAACAAGGACCGTGATAGAAATAATGGCTGCCTTTTATGGGATGCTTGCTGTGGGCTAGACTGGAAGTGCTTTATACTGACCTGAGCTTCATAACAACCCTGTGGGGTAGCTGCTGTAATTAACCCCATTCTACAGCCCTGGGAACAGAAGTGTTGAGTCCGTTGTCCCCAGGTCCCATAGCTCGTAAGCATGGAGTGTGGCTCCAGGGCCTCACTCGTAGCTACTGCTCTGGAGGCCTTGGTGTGTGGAAAACCATCGTGAGCTTAGAGGAGGGAGGCGTGCTGTCTTCTGGTCAGGGGACACCAAATCCTTGGATGAGTTGGTGACGTTCTGTGTGCTGTCCGCACTCAGCCCTCCTCATGCCCCCAGGACGGGGAGACCAGAGAGTGTCCGGGTTCCCTCGCTTGGGCATGTGTCAGAGATGCCCAGGGGGTCTCTGAAATCCAGAAAAACACCGTTGACCTGGAGAGATCACAGCTGTACCAGCTCAGACATTTTTCAGTAGTTTAAATAATTCGCCTCTAAAAGAATACAGGGATGGGGAAAAGAGCATTTTATTATGTAACAAATATTTTTGCGCAATTGCAATTCAGGCTTTAAGGCAGTTTGATACAATAAACACCAGGACTACCCTTGACTCTGCCAGGATACACTGGAAGATCAGCCCCACTCTGGTATGGCCCTTTCTGCCAGCCCCGGCTGGGGGTGGGTCACTAAAGCAAATCAATTTCTCTGATGGCACTAGTGCCAAGCTTTAAAAATACATCGTCTTGAAGAAGAATTCCCTGTTAGGGTCAAGTCGGCATTCTAAGTCCCTCAAGTATGAGTCTCTATTCACATCCTGGCCCTGGCCCTGTGGATTCGGATTCTATAGTTTTGTGTTGGGCTGAGACATGGCATTTCTGTGACGGTCCCATATTTAAGGCTAGCTGTCCCAATAGTAAGATTGGGATTTTGGGGAGACCCGCTGTGGCCTCATAATCCTAATCTCAGAGCAGACAGGGACGATGGGGGCAAGCTAGCTCTGTGCTTCTTCACTGGGGTCCGATTGCTGGTTGACCTTGGACAACTTACTCAACCTCTCTGAGCCCCAGTTTCCTGAACAATAAAGAGGTGATGATAATAGTTCCAACCAAAGATGTAAAGGTGAAATGAGAGGCTGCATATAAAGTGCTTACACAGTGTTTGGCACATGGTAATTGTTGAATAAATCTTAATTTTTTTTAAACTACTGCTTGTGGTTGACAGGAAGCCACAGGCCATTTTTGGAACATCAATTTTACTGAAAGATTATTTTAAGGCAAATATTTATATATTAAACAGACAGAGAAATAGTTGGAAGAGAATGCAAAATTTGTATGCGCTATTGCTGTAAAATATGAGCTGCCAAAGACATTTTCCACCTGGGGTAGTGGCTCTGGGTTACATCCCTGAGGTCCCACATTTACAAGCATAATTCTCTGCTTTAGAGAGAAACTGATGGGAAATTTATGAGTCTTGAATTTTATTTAGTTTATATAGGCTCCCCCCTTTTTTCCTTCTTAAATTTTTTTTATTGATTTTAGAGAGGGAGGAGGAGGGGGGAAGGAGAGACAGAGAGAGAGAGACATCAATGTGAGAAATATACATCAATTAGTTGCCTCCCGCATGCGCCCTGACTGAGGATTAAACCTGCAACCTAGGTATGTGCCCTCACTAGGAATTGAACCCGGGACCTTCCAGTGCACAGGAAAATGCTCCAACCAACTGAGCCACACTGTCCAGGGCTAAGCCTCTTTTACGAGAGGAGATCTGAGGCTCAGGGAGGAGGAAGGGCATATCAGGTTATTAGCGGCAGAACTGGGACCCATTCTTTGCCTCAGTTTCCCCGCATGTACACGGCCATGTCTGACCGGAGAGAGGCTGGCTCAGCCAGGAGCTTTTCCTGAGTTTGGTAGGGAATAGGAGACCAGTGCCTCCCTCAGCTTCTCCAGGCCTCAGAGGAACTTTCCAGAGAACCATTTTCTGGTGTTGATTTGTTAAGTCTTTGTCCTAAGTGAGAACAGCAGCTGGCGAGGTGGATTCTGACCCAACGTCAAAGTTAATTAGAAATGTCACCCTTCTGGGAGCTTCTCCCCCTGAGCAAAGAAAGGGACATCTTCACGCACAGGCCTCTTCCTCTGACCCTCCGAGTTTCACGGGGCTCTGCCAGGCTTTCTCCCCACTTCCCTACCTTCTCCTGGTCAGCTCCATGAAAACTAATTTCCTCTGCAACCCAAAAAGCTGCCTCAGAATCTCAGCAGAGACATTCTGGGAACTAGCAGCCGGGAACGCCCATCCCATCTTAGCTTCGGCACGCTGCGTAACCTTGGGGTCCCCTCTCAGCCTCGGCACGCTGCGTAACCTTGGGGTCCCCTCTCAGCCTCGGCACGCTGCGTAACCTTGGGGTCCCCTCTCAGCCTCGGCACGCTGCGTAACCCTGGGGTCCCCTCTCAGCCTCGGCACGCTGCGTAACCCTGGGGTCCCATCAGCCTCGGCACGCTGCGTAACCCTGGGGTCCCATCAGCCTCGGCACGCTGCGTAACCCTGGGGTCCCCTCTCAGCCTCGGCACGCTGCGTAACCCTGGGGTCCCATCAGCCTCGGCACGCTGCGTAACCCTGGGGTCCCCTCTCAGCCTCGGCACGCTGCGTAACCCTGGGGTCCCATCAGCCTCGGCACGCTGCGTAACCTTGGGGTCCCCTCTCAGCCTCGGCACGCTGCGTAACCCTGGGGTCCCATCAGCCTCGGCACGCTGCGTAACCCTGGGGTCCCCTCTCAGCCTCGGCACGCTGCGTAACCCTGGGGTCCCCTCTCAGCCTCGGCACGCTGCGTAACCCTGGGGTCCCCTCTCAGCCTCGGCACGCTGCGTAACCCTGGGGTCCCCTCTCAGCCTCGGCACGCTGCGTAACCCTGGGGTTCCCTCTCAGCCTCCGCACGCCGCGTAACCTTGGGGTCCCCTCTCAGCCTCGGCACGCCGCGTAACCCTGGGGTTCCCTCTCAGCCTCGGCACGCTGCGTAACCCTGGGGTCCCATCAGCCTCTGCACGCTGCGTAACCCTGGGGTCCCCTCAGCCTCTGCACGCTGCGTAACCCTGGGGTTCCCTCTCAGCCTCGGCACGCTGCGTAACCTTGGGGTCCCCTCTCAGCCTCGGCACGCTACGTAACCTTGGGGTCCCATCAGCCTCGGCACGCTGCTTAACCTTGAGCGAGTGCCTTACCTCTCTGGGGCTCAGCTTTTTTATCTGTAGGGAGCACTCCTGGACTGTCCGGGTGAATACCTGCCACATGAGAAATGTACAGGTTGCTCCTGAGCAGCTGCTGAATGTACCCCTCACATAGCAATGGGGTTTCTGAGGGCATGAAAGGGGCCCAGAGCCAGAGTGAGTTCCTCCAGATTTAAGGAGCACTAGACTCCCAGATCTTTTGTCCCAGAGAATGAAGCTAGGGAGATTCCTGCCCATCAGGCTTTGACTGTTGGCATAATTGGTGCCCTGAGTTGCTGGAGGTAAAGCCAAGATAGGCACTGTCTCAGGCTGCATTAATAGTGGTATAGTGTCCCAAGTGGGGAGGGGAGAGAGAGTACTACCCCGGACCTGATATTGTGTAACATCGAAGCCACACCTGGGATTGTGTGCTTACACTGAGTGAGACCTTTGAAGAGTAGATGGCTGTCCGGCCGGTGTGGCTCAGTGGTTGAGTGTCGACCCACGCACCAAGAGGTCGCCAGTTCAATTCTCAGTCAGGGCACACGCCCAGGTTGTGGGCCTGATCCCCAGTTGGGGGGGCATGCAGGAGGCGACCAATTGATGTTCTCGGTCATCGATGTTTCTATCTCTCTCTCCCTCTCCCTTCCTCTCTCTCAAATCAATAAAGAAAAAAAAATTAAAAAGAAAAGAAAGAGTAGATGGCCTGCTTGAGTCAGATCCTGCAAACTACATCCTGGAGGCCTTCAGCCCCGAGGGAAGAAGACTGGTGGGGGAGGGATTAGCCCAGGGGAGCAGGCACTCAGTGCAGGGCCCCAGGAGGCAGAAAGGATGCTGTCAAGGGGACAGAGTTCAGCTCGAAAGAAGGAGGCAGGTGCCAGTGGTGAGAGCTGTCCAACAGTGCGGCGGGCTGCCCCGTAGGCTGCAAGCCCCAACACCAACGCAGACAGAACTGGCACACGTGAAGCTGCCGGGAAGCATCCCTAGCTGAGGTTAGAGGCTCTCCCCACGAGGAAGCTCCAAGTCACAGACTGGCCCGTGGTAATAAGCACAGCTCTGTTATGGGGGGCCAGGTAAGTGCTCTCTATAGTGCATCGTTAATTACACAAAGAAGTTGATACAAAGGGCTTGGAACAGTAGCTGTTCTTAGTGAGGACCACATGGGTATCAGCTATTTCTTCTGATATCGTCTTAACTCACAATCCTCAGAACCACCCTATGAGGTAAGTACTATTAGTAGCTTCGTTATACATATGGGGAACTGAGGCATGGGGAAGCCCCTTGCCCAAGGCCCCACAGTTATTAAGAAGCAGAGCCACACCCTGGCTGGTTTTGCTCAGCGGTTAGAGCGTCGGCCTGTGGTCCAGAGAGACCCGGGTTTGGTTCCCACTAAGGGCACGTACCTCGGTTGCAGTTTGTCCCCAGGCCTGGTTGGGTCGTGTGGGTGGCAGCCACTTGGTGTGTCCCTTTCACGTCGATGTTTCGCGCGCTCTCTCTCTCCCTCTCTCTCTCTCTCCCCTTCCCACTCTATCTGAACAAAAAATGGGAAAGTGTCCTCGGGTGAGGATAAAAAATAAAGAAGCAGCCCTGGCCGGTTTGGCTCAGCGGTTGGAGCGTCGGCCTGCGGTACAGAGAGACCCGGGTTCGGTTCCCGCTAAAGGCACGTACCTTGGTTGCAGTTTGTCCCCGGCCCTGGTTGGTCGTGCAGGTGGCAGCCACTCAATGTGTCCCTTCACATCGATGTTTCTCTCTCTCTTCCTCTCTCTCCCTCCTGCTTTATCTGATCAAAAAATGGAAAAATGTCCTCGGGTAAGGATAAAAAATAAATAAATAAATAAAGAAGCAGAGCCACGATCCAAGCCCAGAGAGTCTGGCTGTAGAACCCATGTCTTTGACCACTTTGTAGCCTCTCTGAGATGGCATGAGAAGCAGCCCACAGGAGACAGGGCATTAGGCACAGGCTCATGAAATGTCACACTGGAAGTGTTCCTAAAGTCCAAACGGAGGAGGCAAGGGAGGTGGCCCAAGTCCCATGGCCTGCGTGAGCATGTGGACTCGCTCTGGGTCATCACCTTGATTCTGCGTGGGAGCGGCTGAAATGGGGTGTCTCCCAGCAAGGGTGGGTTGCTTCCCATCCTCAATCTCCAACCTCCATGAAGGAAGGCCGAGTTGACCAGGAGGCCGGGCTCTCGGGCTCCCAGGGACAGAGGCCACCAGGTGACTTGGGCAATTCCAGGAAACAGGACCAAGAACAGCCCTAGACCCTGGTTTGGTGCCATCCACTTGTTCATTCATTCCTGCCGCCTCTGCCCCAGCCCCAAGCAAGGCCCCAGAATGACCTGGCAGAGCTCACAGTCTAAAACGGACTCATTCCCAGCCCTGGTGATTCTTAGTGGAGCCAAGCGAGAAATAAAACAATTCGTCGTTCATGGTGGTAACTGACGTTGAAGACGATAATTACTATGTCTGCCGAGCACCCACCATGTGCCAAGAGCTGTTGTGGGCAGGGCCCCTGCCCTTAGGGGCGTGTGCTGTCGGGGAGAATGTGATGGGCTTTGGAACTGCGAACCCTGGGCAGCTGGTCCCCAACACAGACTAACTTCTCTCCTCCAGTTTGCTTGCCTCTGGTGTGGAAGTGATAGCCAAAGAAGTTGTGCCGTGAGCCTTCAAAATTCCACAGGTTGAGCGCGCAGTGCCTGGTGCAGTCCTTTAGTTAACGAGTTCCCCTGGGGGCAGGCCTGTTCCAGGCTCCTGGGATCCAGCAGCCAAGGGCAGCCACGGCCCAGCCTCCGTGCAACTCGTATTTGAATTGGGGAGTAGCCAGGCAACATGTTGGGGTGCCGGGGTCCTCTGGAAAAGGTCCTGGGCTGGGAGCCACGCTCTGCACCCTGCATGGTCTGTGTCCTTGGACAAATCACAACCCCTTACTGAGTTCCCCAATAGTTTGATAAGGAGGCTGAGTCCCTGGTTTCCAGGGGTTCTTCCAGCCTGGCAGTTCTGTGACTCCGTGACCTCTGGGTCCGAGGTGAGCTCCCAGTGTGAGATGGGGAGGGTGTCATGGGCAGTGATGAGGAAAAGGGCAGGGCCAGGGCCTCAGCCACGCATGGGCTCTCTCCCGCACTGGAGAAATGGGCTACGTGTCCATCTACCTCGCCTGAGGCTGCTCCGTAGGCCAGTGAGCTGCCCGGAGTTGGAGCTGAGCTCGAGCCTGGGGGAGGAGGGGTGGAGGGCCTGCCCTTGGGAAATGGCGTGAAGCTTCCGGTAGGACTGTCCTTCCGGGAGCCAGGACGTCTGACTTCAAATTTCTTCATGACTGAGACTTAGTCTCCTCACATTAGCTGAGGAAATGGGGGCTGCCCAGCTCCCGGGGTGTCTGAGGAGCAGATGTGGCCTCCGGGTGGGAGGATGCCAGGCTTCGGTCTGCATGCCCCGTGCTCACACCGCCTCCCACCTCCATGCCCAGCCCAGGAGGGGGCACTAGCGTCTCATCGACAGACCAGGAACGGCCTCGTGGCCCACAGCTGCACACCTCGTAAGGGCCTGGGTTGAAATTCCTTTATTTTCTTTTTTTTTAGAGTACAGCCTAGAATGCAAAGTCCTTCTATATATAATGGCCCCAGAGATTTTTTTTCTTTATTGATTTTTAGAGAGAGAGGAAGGGAGAGGGAGAGAGAGAAACATACATGTGAGAGTGAAACAGTGATGTGAGAGAGAAACATTGATCGGCTGCCTCCCTCATGTGCCCCACTGAGGATTGAGCCTGCAACCCTGGCATGTGCCCTGACCCGGAATCGAACTGGCAACCTTGCCGTACATGGGACAACGCCCAACCAACTGAGCCACACGGGCCAGGGCCTGGGTTGGAATTTAGATGAAGCCTATCTGGTACTGAAGCCTGGATTCTTTCCATGATACATTTGGCACTGAATGAATGAGAGGTGACGTTGTCCCCATTTTACAGGTGGGAAAACTGGGGCTCTCACACATATAATAAGAACAGTGACGTCTAACCCTCTACCAGAAAGACAGCAGCTGTTCATTTTGTTGCAATGGTGCCAGAGGAGGCCAGGTCTCAGCAACTGGGATTCATTATGCCTAGAAAGTTCTGGAAAGCTCAGAGCCTGATTCCTACAGACATCCAAATGGAGCATAAAGCTCCCCAAACCTAAGGGACGAGTAGGCCCCAAGACCTTCCTTAGCGGCCCCAGTTTGGGCACGAGGGAGCCCCTGGTTCATGGCTGCTAGTGACAACCACCACAGTTGACCTTTTTTGATTCAGGAGGTAAAGCAAGGTGATAGGGAAGCATATTTTGGAGTCAAAACAGGCCTCGGGTCAGAATGCCCACCATCGCTTTTTGGAGACAAAGGCTGCCAGCTAAGACACTGTTCTTTGTAGCTGAGGGAACTCTCCTACCTTTGTCACCTTTCTGGGCCTCAGTGTCTTGTTTGCGCAGTGGGAGTAATGATACCTCCTGTCATGGCTTCCACGAGGATCAACGAGACGAGCGTATGAGGCCCGCAGGTCCCAGTACAGGGTCGGGCACCTGTTGAGGACTCAGGAAGTGGTAGTTGGTGCTTCACTGCTGTCACGATTGCTGCTATTTCTGTGTCCCCTCCTGCCTTACAGTGCGGAAACAGGAAATTATAAAAGTGACAGAGCAGCTGATTGAAGCCATAAGCAATGGAGATTTTGAGTCCTACACGTGAGTCGTCTGGGCCCATCCTGCATGTCCTGCCTGGATTGTTGTTCGGGGGGCTGACGGCTAACTGTGGGGACCTGTCTCTGACCCTCAGTCACTCACCCTGCATGTGCTATGAATCCGACTGAGCTCATGCTTCTGTTTTACATTCAGACTTCATGCTTTTACTACGCTTTCTGTTCAAAGCACTCCTCTGTACCTTAGCCCTGCTCCTCATACCTCATTCCCAGGAGGAGCTCCAACAAGACTCTTGCTTCCCCAAGGAAAGAGGGTGTGGTCTCCACCCCAGCCCGGGCCTCCTCAGGAGAGGAGCTGGGAAGGAGGGGAGGGAGGCAGGTCCCTCCTTAGTCTTGCCTTGTGGGCCTGGGTCTTCACCCTGGACCTTCTCAGACCTCTGACCTCAGCTGGGCAGGATTGGGCAGGAATCCATAGGTTGTGTACCTCCAGTGAACAAGAACCTCAAAATGAAAGCTTAGAGCCTCTGGGGAGTAAGGCAATGTGCACAGAAATGACAAAAGAAAACAGATGGTATAAGATGTTCTCTGCACACCTGGGCCAACCCTCAGGGGCAGTTGTGTGCAAAGGCTGAGCTGGAGCGCCCCCTGGTGGTCACCCATGCAGCCTTCCTGGTCTGGCCCAGAAGCAGGTCCTGAGCCTGCCCTCCGCTGGCTCTGGAAGAGAAAGGATTCCCAGCTGAGGCCTCAATCTCTTGGCCTCTTGGCCAGGGCTTATAAGGTCTGGGCCTGAAGACCCCACATACAGTTTTCAGTGGACAAAAGCTGCCAACTAAGGCAGAATGACCCTTGCCTGATGGGTTCAGGTGAGGTGGGAACAACCTGGCGGGGTTTGCTGCTTGGGTAGCCTGTTCCTGGTTTCCACTATGCACAGGACTGAAATGCGTCTCCCAAAGGCCTGGCAGGCCTCTGCGGGAGGGTTTCTGCAGCAATGGGTGGCAAAGCCCCAGCAACCTACTGGTTATCTCCGGAGGAACAGGACCTTGGGGGGTGCAGGCGTGAGACTGAGGCCCATGTACATGTGTGTGCATGCACTTGTCCATGCATGCATGTTTGTGTTGTGTGCACGGGTGTGTGTGCACTGGGTGTGCACCAGATGTTGCATAAAAGCATGGAAGTGTGCTATTGAACAGGTTTTGCAGCCGGCCCTAGAAAGAGTTGTCAGCCATGGGGGACCCAAGGAGTGGCTCTGGTAGGACACTGCCAGGGAAGGAGGGAAAGAGAGGTGGCTCCTGTGGGCCCCAAGCCTCCCAGTGCCATTTCTGGGGACCCCTCCCACCTCTTGATGTCACTTCCTCTGGCATCTGTTGTTTACTCTAGGTTTTGACCCCTTGCCATAACCTCTGGGGCCCGTGGTGTCCTGAGTCTGGCCCTGTGTAACCCTGGATAACCCTTCGTATCAGGAGCCTTGGTTTCCCTACATGTACAGTGAAGTTGGAGCAGATGGTCTCTTCAGAGGCAGGGATGCCCAGAAACCTCCTAGAGAGGAGCTTCCCGGTGGTGCTCAGACTCCCGGATGCTCAGAGCGCAGACCTCCAGCCCTGTGGGATTCTGCTGCTGGAAGGTCCTGAGCATCCCATATGGTCTGAGCACAGCCCCAGCCGCTGGTTGATCCACCTAGAAAATCTGAGGTCCTGAGTGGAAAAGTGAGTTGAGGGGACAGGCAGGGCGGCACAGGGGCAGAGTGCCCTGCTTTTGCCATGGGGTCCAGCTCAGAAAGTGCTGGGCCTCACCCCCTCCTCCAGTTGTCTCCAGTTCCTCCCCAGATTGGGGTCTTTGCTTTCCCTGAGTACTTCCTGTCCCTGGCTTCACTGTCATTGTCACAGGAGTCCATGTAGTGCCGCAGAGACCTGGGGTGGGGGAGAGTTTTTCCCTGTCCCCAGCCAGCTGTCAGTGTCTCGGGGAAGTCAGAGACCTGGAGGGGAGCACTGTCCTGAAAGTGCACAGCCGGAGGCCCCGCCCCGCCCCGCCCTCCCAGGCATCGCTTTGTGGACCCTATTCCTCATCTCACGAAGAGGAACCGAGCCCACAGTGAGGGCTGCTAACAACAGGGCGTCTTTGCTTAAAGCAGCAAAGCGCACCCTTTCTGGGATTAGACCTTCTTGGTGAGGTCACTTTAATATGAAGGAAAAAGTCCCCTTCCCAGGAAGACAAATGAGGAGCCCCCGTCCCCCGTGGACCTGCTGCCCTGGGTCAGAGTGGGAGGGTGGGGTGCGCTTTGGAGAGTAGCATCCGGCTGACTTGTGCAGGGCATGACTCTGCATGCCATCCACGGTGCTCTTGCCTGGAGAGGTTAGGCCACCTGCTGGGGAAATGGCAGAGCCAGGACCTGAACCCAGGCTTCCCGGTTCTAAATGACACCCACCAGTCAGCAGTGCCCCACACTGCACAGTTCGCAAGCCCCTTCCCTGTCCATCCGCTTTACTGATCTTGTGAGGTGGGTGCAGTTACCCCCATTTTACAGGCTCACCCTCCTTGGGCCCAGGCCCTTGGATGAGGGAGTAGCTCTGAGAGGCCACCCCAGCCCCTCTTTCCTCTGACTTCCTCCCCCCAGGAAGATGTGTGACCCCGGGATGACAGCCTTCGAACCCGAGGCCCTGGGGAACCTGGTCGAGGGCCTGGACTTCCATCGATTCTATTTTGAAAACCGTGAGCAATTCCTTCTGTCTGGGGTGCCTGTTGTCTGCTCTCGGTCCGTGTCCTGCCGGACGGCACAGCAGGGTGACGGGCAGGGCCCCCGGGGCAGCTCAGGAGCCAGCGAAGAGGAAGACCCCATGTGGACAGGGGTTGGTACCATCTTGGTTCCCTCTCCTAACCCTGGCCCATCCAGCTGCCAGCTGCCCCTCCCGTGGCTGAGGATGGGGACCTGGGATAAGCGTGGCAAACCTTTCCAGCCCTCTCCTGCCCGGGACGCTGCCCAGGGAGGGCCTGGCGAGGGCCTTACTCCCATTTCATAGCTAAGGAGGCCTTCCCACGAGGACACACACCCAAGTTACAGTCATCCTGACACCTGGGACCACCCAGCTGCCCAACTGGTCACAAGCAGGCTCGTGGGTTGTTATGTAAGCGCCCCCTCTGGTGGGCAGTCTGGGGAAGAGGAGAGGCCCCAAGCTCACACTGCTGTGCCCTGCCTGTTCGTCTAGGTCTCTGTCCGCATGTCCGTCCTTTCGGGCCTCTCCTTTGCAGGAGAGACCTGGCAGCTTTGCACCAGGGGCTGTCGGGGGCTGAGGCTGGGCCTGACCCAGGGTGCTTTCTGCCTGTGTCCGTGTCTCACCTTGGCCAGGGGTCAGACGGGATGAACCAAAGCACATGCAGGTTAGGCTCGTGCCGCTGAGGACGCGGAGGAAGGCCTTGAGAGGTGGCACATCCAGGGTCTCCCACAGGGAAGGCACTACCGCTGAGGCCTCCCTGGATGATTTCTAGTACACGTGGGCGCTGCTCAGAGCCACACTGGTCCTCACGGCGAGAACGCTGTCCCTTTCTAAATTCTCTCTCCATGTGCCTGGCTCCATCAAGGGGCAAGGCCCCATTGGGTGCTAGTCTGTCTCGAACGCCTCTGAACACTTTCTAACTTCCCTCTTCGTTAGAGAGAGCCGTCTCGGCTCAGATCTGTGCAGGCAGGGGTGTGGCACTAGGGTTGCGTAACTTTGTTTCATTTTCGCTGGACTTGTTACCATTGTGTTCTGTGATTCTGGTGTTGCACTAATGATTGTGCTAGAAAGCTTTCTTTTCCAATCAATTGGTATCAACGAATAAAGTGAGTCCATTTAAGGAAATATTTTCATGAAGTACAGGTGGCACGTGGTTAAAATCAAGGTGGTCGTTAAGTGACTGGAGTAGGATCTAGTCCAGCTCTTCATCACACAGAAGGGGAGACTGAGGTCCAGACAGGGGAAGTGTCTTGTCCAAAGGAACCCAGAAAGTCGGTGGCAGACCCCAGTCCCGACTCACTCCACGTGCTGCCCCTCATCTGTGTGTCAGTGGTCATCAGCTGGACACGTCTGCCTGTACCCAACCTGACTGAATCACATAGAGTACAGGGGCTCAAGAGCACCCCAAAAAGCTGCAAAGAAGGAAGTTGTGTTTTCCCCTGATCAATCTTCGGATTCTCCAAGGCCAGCAATGGGAATTCTCATGTGAAGAGAGGTGGCTGGAACCCCAAAGGTCCCCTCATCCTGGAGCTCCCTGGCTGCTCACCACAGCCATCTCTCTCCTGGTCTGTCCTCTGGAGGTGCTGGTACCCCAGTGTGCACCCACAGTCTTCACAGAGCAGAGTCTGGGCTGAGCTGACTCTAAGGGATCAGGGATGGCGAAAGGGAAAAGAACAGAAGCCCATGCTAGCCCTTGGCCTGCATCCAGGTGGTCCGCCCCATCTTAGCACTGGCTCCCTAAATTCTAGGCTTGACCACCTGGTCATGTCAAAGGACCCACACGTGTCTGCAAGAACCAGAGAGTATCTGCTCACTCCTGGCCGAGCCCCACCCTGCTGCCTGCCTTCTCCGGCTGGAGGACCTGGTGTCTTTCTCCATGCTATCCATGGGATGTTGAAAACCCATCGTTATTCAAGAGACATCATATCAGAGTGGCTGTTTCTTCACAAATGCCCCTCAGGACCCCTGCCCTCATCAACAGCAGCAAGGCCCAGTGGCCTCAACAATGCTAAGTTCTGTCTGTCCCTTCTGGGATTGTGCTAGATGGCTGATTCAGTCCCACACAGAGACTGACTTCTTTTAGGTTCTACTGAATTTCTTTCAGAAACTGCCCCAGCTTAGGACAAGTCGGGTTGCTTCTCTGGACCCCAGTTTCCAGATCTGCTAAATGGATGCATTGAACTAGACCATCTTGAGTGCCTTCGGCTCTGGATGCTCTCGAGGTGCTTACAGAAGCCTCCTTGCATTCTGTAGGAGGGCCACTGGGTCACCGCTGACCTCTCGGGTCACCACTGACCTCTCAGGTCACTCCCAAGCCTATAACACAAAAGCTGTGTGTTTGCAAGCCCAGAATTGTAAAAGTCTGTTAGGATCTAAGACTCAGTGATGTTGAGTCCTTATTCCAAAGCCTGGGTAGAGTGTGATTATAATATTAGGGGTGGGTATTATCGCAGGCTTTCTGTAGTACTTAAAAAAAAAAAAAAGATATTTTAGATTTTTCAGGAAATCAATGACTCACAAACCTGGCTGGGCATCAGAATCAGAGGGTGGGGAAGGGGACAGGAGCTTCTTAATACTAGAGATTCTTGAACTGGCATCTCCAAGGGTGGACATGTACCCTCTGTAGGGTTGGGACCTACATTCGGGCTACACTAAGGAAAAGCATAAGGGTCACTCTGGAGCCCAAGGTGCCCATGTCCCCCGCCCAACCCCTCCCTGGGTCATTGTCTTTCTGTGCCTTTGTTTTCTCTCTTGCTGAAAAAAATTAAGAGTTCCTAGAATCAAAATAGGTAATAATAAAAATAATTAATAGTAATGGTGGCTAATGTTTCCCATGGAGAAAGAAGTTTCAGATACTTCTGTTGGTTCTACCTTGATTTTAAGAGGTATGCATTTCTCCCTAACTCTGGAAAGCTCCATGACCTCACCCCATGACTACAAATGCCATCCTTACAATTCCAAGGTTCTAAGATTCTACAATCTTAAGATACCCCAAATTTCTATGATTCTACATGTTGAGAATAGAAGTGGCAAATGAGGGGCCCATGTGTTTTATGTGGCCTGCATGATGTTTTAAATTTGGATTAGATGCCAATAATTAAAAATGAGACATTTCCACATAAAAATCCAGATTTCTAGATTCTCTTGAAAAGTCAGGAAGTGTGGCAACATGGATCTGTTACTCACATAGCAACCAGCCGGGAACCCGTGTACAGGGCACCCTCTGTAGATGGGACATGGTGAGCTATTCACCATAGTCTCCACCACTCCCTATTGTCTCCCTGACCCAGAGGCAAATGGTCAGTTGCCATTTAGCATCTTATATCCAGCTTAGCTCCTCATTTATATATTTGTTTGGTCTCTGTAGGGTTCTGGGTTTGAGACTCTGATCTAAACTGATTTGATTCTATAATCTCTGAGTCCTATTTGTCTGTGTTTGAGACACTCTGATTCTAAAATTTCATTTCCCTGTGTTGAAGACTTCAGAGTGTCTGAAATCCATCGTCTCTAAGCTGGGATGTGCCCTAGTCATCTAGGAGTCCTGCCTTGACTCCCAGGTAGCTGAACTCTGTCACAGAGACGGCTCCTCTGGAAATGAGGAAGGCAGGGGGGCTCAGAGGGTCGCTGGGAGTCGGGGAAGTGAAGGAAGTGAGGCAGGAGGCCCCCCAGTTGCATCTGCTCTGCTCGCTCCCACCCCCGCCTGCAGTGTGGTCCCGGAACAGCAAGCCTGTGCATACCACCATTCTGAACCCCCACATCCACCTGATGGGCGACGAGTCGGCCTGCATCGCCTACATCCGCATCACGCAGTACCTGGACGCCGGTGGCATCCCCCGCACGGCCCAGTCGGAGGAGACCCGCGTCTGGCACCGCCGGGATGGCAAATGGCAGATCGTCCACTTCCACAGATCTGGGGCGCCGTCCGTCCTGCCCCAGTAAGAGCTTCTGCTTCTGCTTCTGCCTCTGTCGTTAGGACCATCTAAAGGAGGTCTTGGGGTGGGGGCGGGAGGACCACAGGAGGAGATCAGGCCTGCAGGTCCCGGGGCAAGAGCTGGGCGGGTCCCTTAGGCAGCAGCTCCCTCCATCTAAGGAGGTTGGCTGGGGTGGCTGGCAGAGGAAAATGGGGCAGCCTCAGCTGCACCTGCATTACCCACCGCACGTATCATGTCTTACAGTTGAAGGACCAGGCTGGGGCACTTTACTGCAGAGATCTACTCTTCGTCCATGGAATGTCGCTGCTGGTTCTCCCACCTTGGATTTTGCTGGAATTCCCCCAGTCACGTCACCCCACTACCACCGCCATCACCGTCACGTTCATGCCTGCATCAAGAAAACCTACCCGCCAAACCCATCGCGTCTTCAGAACAAATGGCCACATCTCCCCGCCTCTCACCTGTCCCTCTCAGTCTCTGTCCCCAGCCAGGGCCGAGCTTCCTCAGGCCTAGACGCCCTGGATGCTGGCCCTGAGTACCCTCCCACCCGGCTGTCATTGGCCTGACTTGTCTTGGCTGCAGCCCAGAATGCCCAGCTATCTGTTCACCCAGGGTCTGGGGAAAAGGAGAGGCGGAGTCAGGAGATCCTTGACCTCTCCTCTTCCAGGGTCCCCCTGGGAAAGGCAGATGAACCCCTAACACCTTGAGCCAACCTCCCCTGCGGGAGAGAGTGAGAGAAGAGCAGATGCCAGGAGACTCATGCCTCAGACTGCGTCCCTACCTCCTCTCCCACCTGCCCGCCCTCCAGCCTCCGCCTGACACTCTCCCTCAGTGTGGGGAGCGCGATCCTCTCAGGGTGCCCCCACTCTCCCTCTTGCTTCTCTGCCGTTTACCTCCAACACTAACCGCCCATTCCACCCCTCCACCCGGCCCGGGAATTCCAGCTTCATCATATTTGAGGGAGAAAACCTGATTGCTTTTTTGGGGGCAAAAGAAAGCAACCTCTAGGTTATCACTTCTACTTGGACCGCATGCCTTTTTATAGCCAAACTCCTGTGTTTCGTAAATGGATTTCGCGTTCATGGATATCTATGTCATAACTAGACCTCTCAATTATTGTGAGGAGGGCTGGGTTGGGTTGGGAAGGGAGGTGGGAAGAGGGCAGAGGGGTAGTTCTTTTTTTTGTTTTTTTTTTCCCCTGTTCTAGGTCTTTATTTATTTTTTAATGTCATCTCTGAGATGGACTTTGTCACCAGTGGTTGCCCAGGGCCGAGGTAGACTCAACCCCGGTAGAAAGGTCTTCACTGAAATTTTGGTCCCAAGGTTATTTTCAGGACTGAATCAGATGTTAGTGCTGATAAGAAACAGTTCATCGGGGCAGAGAGTTGGGGGGCGGGGTTCGGAATGGAAATATCTGGACTTTTCTTTGCTTGCCTCCCAAACCGGGGTCCTTACTACCACACTTCCCAAGATTTCATCCCACCTCATCTGTGTGCCACCCCCAGCGTCCCCCCCTCTCTCTGGGGGTGTTCATGAGCATGCGTCTTCATCGCCCACCCCCTCGGTGTCTGCTGGTCCAAGCAGAGCACTGGAATGTCTACTCTTCACGCCTCGTCCTGCAGCTGTGGGTTCGCATCACTCCGCCCTTTTTTCTTTTCCTTCTGCTGCTCTCTTCCCGGGGACTGATGTGGAGTGCCTTGGCATGTCCACTAGGATCTACTGTCTGCACTGTTTTCTTTGCATGACTTTATATGCAGTAAGTATGTTAAAAAAAAAAACAGAAAAGAAGAAAAATCACTCAGCAAAACCAATCTACATGTCTTGGACAAAAATAATAGAGTGTATTCTCAGTGTCCGACTCGGAAATACGTCGCTGCCTCTCTGTGCTTTTGGCCTCTGTGTGGCCGTGTTTTGCCAGCATGAGATATTGTCCCCTCTGGAGGATTTTAGGGGAGGAAGAGCCATATCCCCAAGGCTGTGGAGGAGGCACTGATTCCCCCAAACCTTCGGGGAGTCCTGGGTGGTGGGTGGAGCGGGACTGATGGGGATGTTTGATCCAGACCTTCCTGAGTTTCCCCGATCCTGGGCTGTCCGCTGGGCTGTTCTCTCAATTGCTGCTGCCCCGGGGACAGGTGAGGCGGGCGGGCTGGGGGCTTCAGGCCAGGAAAGAGGCTTCCCAGGCCTCCTGGTCTCCGAGCTGGTCGATCACTGGCCTCTGTCCGTGGCAGAGACCCTGCTGCCAAGTCTGGCCCAATAAGGCCCAGTGATCCCAGCATCTCAGCAGCAAAGCTGCCTGCCTCCCTGTGAGCTGCCATCCCAGCTCACCGCCACCCCCAAGCCAAAGGTGTGTCCTTCACCAGGGGGTGCCGCAACTGCCAAGGCCAAGTCTGGTCCTTTCTTCAGCCTTGGTTTCCCCACCCGCTAAAGGGGCTACATATTCCTGCCCAGCCTATGTTGTAGGGCTGATGGGAGAATCAAATGAGGTGGTAGAAGGGACAGGGTTAGGTCACTGGCTGGACTCCTGTTCCATTCTGAGCCTGGCCAAGTCCCCTTCCCACCTGCCCCCTCATTCTCCTCTTGGGTGCCTGTCAACTGCTCATCAGCAGTGGACTGTGGGGACAAGAGCCGTGGTTTGGGGGTTATTAAGATTCCATTCCCAGCTCTGACCAGACTTGCTGTGTGACACTGGGCAAGTCCTTCCCCTGCTCTGGTCCTCGGTTTCCCACCCAAGGAAACTGAGCTGGGAGACACCAATGTCCTGCCTTTCATTCGCTGACACACTTCCTGCCCACCGTGTCCCTCTCTAAGCACCAGGGAAGTGGATGCAGGTCCCTACCCCAGGCTGGGATGGCCCCACTGTGAAGGCCACGCCTGCGGGTGGACAGCCAGTCAGTGTGGATCGCGGGGCACGGTGTGATCCTGAGGCAGGAGGCGGGAAAGGGGCAGACAGAGCAGCCCAGAGCCCCGCCCCCACCCAGACAGTCAACCCTGTGCTCCTTCCAAACATCCTGTAGATGCAAAAAATCCAGACCTAACACAAGACCTAGGTTCCAGCATGCAAACACGTTTATAGGAAAGTATTCTCCCGGGTTCATGCCCACCGTGGCGCTAACCCTGACCATGGCCTCCTGTCTCCCTTCAAGGGAAGACCCTCTCGGGGGATGTGTTTGCCAGACTCCCCGTGCTGGTTTCTTTGTAACTATTTGTTTGGGGTTTTGTTTTAGTTCTTCCTTTTTTCTTTTCTGTTTTTAAAAATATGTGGCTGTGAACTTGAATGACCACTGCTCAAAATTTCTGCTATTGGGGAGGGAGGGGGGAGAGGAGGGGCGTCTGTTTTATTCTTGGTGTTTTCAGTGCAATAAATAGCTACAAACTTCTGTGCTGTCTCCCTGTCTGGGTCAAGCTCACACTGGGAGATTGTTTCCTGTTCTAGGTCTCCCTAGTTGCAATCATTCTGATTGGACCTAGTTGATCACAGGCTCAAGGCTGAGCCAATCACTGTGGGGTTGGGCCTGGACCACATGCTCCATTATGCCCGGGTTCTCAGGCACTTGGGGGGCCCTTAACAAATGCGAAGGGGTTTCCACAAAGTCTCCCTCAGGGGGCTGGGGCAGGACTCCTTTTCTCCGGGCTTCAGTTCCTTGTATAACGAAGAGGTTGCTCCAGAATCCGTCCCCACCCATTCTTTTCCCTCAGCGCAACCTCACAGACAAGCCCCCGACCTCAGAGCCCCTGGAGATTGGTTTGGAGAAGGAAGGGTCTTTTTACCCACAAACTATCTGTGGACTGGGTGTGCAGGGCGGGGGCCTTGGGGCTGGAGATGGGGATGACTTGAGAGGTTCCACTGGCCCATTAGAGGCCCATCAGAGGCCAGTTTGGTTCTCTGAGCCCAAGCTCCGAGGCTTTGGCCGCCCTCGGACCACAACAGGGTGACCCGCCATCCCGGTTTGCTGGCACAGGACTTCCAGTGCCAAGTGTAGGGCAAACCAGATGCGTTGGTCGCTCTAAACCGTGTTCCCGAAGAGGCCTGGATTCCATGGGGCCGGGGGAATGTGCCTTCTGGAGCCCGCAGTGCCCTCTGGACCATGCTCCCGTTGTCCTGGGGCTCCAGGATTTTTGTACTGTTTATCCTCAATGCTGCTGGGGGTGGGGTGGGGGGGTGTCATGGGGCTTGTGCCTCTAGCACACACGTGAGGAACTTCCCAGTGAGAGCAGAGGCCAAGGCCGATTTCATAGGGACCTGGGGGCTTCCATCTGAACTCTTGCCCTGGAGCCTGCAAATCTTAGTGCCAGACCCGCCCAGCTCCGCCTTCCGGAGCCCTGGATCTCCCGCCTGGGGAGGAGGAAGGGCTTGAGGCTTGGGGGTGCCATTGCAGACACTTGCCAGCAGGTGGAAGCACAGGAGTAGGTTACAGAATGTCCTGAGCCTGAGGGGCTACTATGCTGTGGGCACTTCCAGTTGAAGTATCCTTTTAAAAAATATGGGTTTGGCCCTGGCTGGTTTGGCTCAGCAGTTAGAGTATCGGCCTGTGGTCCGGAGAGACCCGGGTTCGGTTCCCGCTAAGGGCATGTACCTTGGTTGCAGTTTGTCCCCAGCCCTGGTTGGTCGTGCGGGTGGCAGCCACTCGATGTGTCCCTTTCACATCCATGTTTCCCTCTCTCTCCCTCCCACTCTGTCTGTACAAAAAATGGAAAAATGTCCTCGGGTGAGGAAAAAAAAAAAAAAAAATATGGGTTTGTTTTTTTTTGTTTTTTATTGATTTTAGAGAGAGAGAGGAGGGGAGAGCAGAAACATCGATGAGAGAAACATCAAATCATCGACTGGCTGTCTCTTGCACCTAGCAGCACCGGAGAATCAAACCGGGGACTTCTCGGTGTATCAGCCACTGAGCCACACTGGCCGGGCAAGAGGTAGCCTTTAACTCTCGAACAGTACCAACTGCACTTAATTAGGACACTATTATTAGCTGATGGAGCATGACCTTTGCTAGCTCACAGACCTTTCACACACCTCTTGTCCCCGCCACAACAGCCCTATTCTGAAGATGAAGACAATGAGACTCAGGCAAAGAGGCTTCCTGCAAGACAGAGCCAGGGCTCCAGGGCAGACCTATTTCCTGCAGGATCGCCAGTGCCCTGGTCTGTGTTTCCTGTCTCTGGACAGTCAGCAAATAGTGACTGGGATCCTTAGGAGCCCTCTGTCTTTGACACTCTGTCTCTTCCAGCTATTGCCTCATGTCTCAGCTGTCTAGACCCACAGTCTCCACCTCCTCACCGCCCATTTGCTCTAAAAACCACTGTAGGGGGCTGGCTACCCCTCATTCTCCTGCTCAGCTCAGGGCACAGCTCTGGTGTCTTCTCCAAGAAGTCTGCTCCTTTCTCCCAACTCTCACTGGGCTAGGTCCTTCCATGCTTCCGCGACCCCTCTCCCCACCTCACATTACCCTCTGCTTTGAAGTCACCCTAGCAAGCATCTGCAAACCTAGGCGCTTCTTGAAGTTGCGACAGCCTCTTGTCCACACTCTGGCCACACGCAGCAGGTGTCGTCACTCTTGCATGGCGTGGATCCCTGGCAGGTATCTGCTGCTGGAACGAAGGAGGACTGGATGCCGTGGGGGCTTGAGCATTGCACTCACCTCTGCAATCGGCACACCCTACCTCCTTCATGTGTGCTGTCACCCCTCTCCTGGGCACGACTTTTCACTCCATGAACGAGGAGCCTGTGGTGCAGATGGTGAAGGAACCAGCCCAAGATGACCCAGGATGGGAGGGAGGGAAGTGAGATTCTGAATCTTAGCCACTCTGAGCTCCAAGCTGCAGCTGGCTGGGCTCCTGTCCTAGGAATCCCCGACGCCACCCTAGTGAGCAAGAGCCATGCGGAGAACCAGAACCTGACCAGGGCAGGCAGGGATGGGGGCTGGACCTGGAGGTGCAAAGTGTGCAGGAACCAGAAGGAGCAGGAAGAGAGTGGCAGCAGCCAGGGGGTCTGGGAGGCTTGGGCAGCTGCCGGACAGGTTGACGTGTAGGGGAAAAGTGGAGGCAAAGACTGAGGGGTCAGGGAGCAGGGGCCGGGAGGAGCCTGAGGAGGGCCAGAGATGTC